TTGTCATTGTCCCTTTTATTTTGTTTCTCGATTTTCTTCATCTGTCCTGCTCTGAAGGCTTTAGCAGCTGACTTGTCGAATACTGCAATGCATCATGGACATAATGCCACATCTTCATCCTTTTCTTTTTTTCTGTTTAAGAACTCCACGAGGGAATCACCTGATCGAGGATAGATTTCTCTCTCGAATTCTTTCTCGAACTCACTCAGGTCGAATTTCATGTCTTCTTCAGATACGTCCATTCTGACATGCTTAGGATCGATGTCTTCAGTAACATCAATCATGCCTACAAAGGTCGAATTTGTCAATCGGACATCTTCAGTCATGCCCGTCTGGGATTCGATATATCCTACTTGAACCTCGAATGGACTTGTGTCCAGTTTCATTGAAATCTCCTCGAACTTCAGTCTTCCTTGGTCAATCGCATCTTGAATCATGTTCACGAAATGTATACAATTATTAGTCCAATGTCCATAAATATTATGGAATTTGCGATATTTTCGACCATTCCTTTGTTACTGCAGATGGAAATTTATGATCATCACTCAACTTAATCTGCTTATCTTTCAATAAAATATCGAAAATTTTATCGGCTTTTGTAACATCGAAAGTATACGTTCGATTTGCCATTTTGTCTTTTACTTCATTTTTACGTAGTAATTTACAAATATATGGAGCTCCTACTTTGAGCTCTGCTATATTTACTTTCTCATCGACAGTTTCTTCAATATCAGTTTCTGTCTTGGGATCTGTCTCATACACATCATTTATATATGCTACTCTTTCTTTCTTCATGGGTTTCTCAAATTTCTTATACCTTTGTTTTTCATATTCGATTTGTTCCACTCTTCTCACTTTATCAGCTAGCTGAGCCATGTCATTTAATGGTAAATTAACTAACTTTTTCCTAATCGAGAATTCTAAACCGGCAGAGGCCATTCTGACTAATTCATATTCAGGAATTTGAGTAAAACATCTTGACTTCATCTGTCTAAATCTATTCAAATAATCGTCTATACTTTCATGATTGTATCTCTTTATATTCATTAAGTCGATGAGACTTACTTGGGTCTCCCCTCTGAAGAATTGCTCATGAAAATTTATTTCCAATTGCAACCAATTATATATCGAATTGGGTGGCAACGAAGTAAACCAAGTGAAAGCATTCTTAGCTAATGAACTAGGGAAATATTTCATTTTTAATTCTTTACTCATAGCTAGGTCCCCACATTCGATCTGATATCGAGCTACATGCTCGATAGTGGACTCACCAATTTCTCCAGCAAATTTGGTGAATTTAGGTACTTTGTATCCTCGAGGTAATTCTGTCTCGAGAATCGTATTTGGAAAAGGAGAAACAAAGTATGGTTGATTGGGTGACCTTAATTCTACCCCTTGAGGGTTCATCCTTTGCCCTGACATGTGGTTAAACTGCATGTTATTTTGATTATACATGTTCTGAAATCCCCCATTCAGATTTCCATAAATATCATTTCTCACATGCTGATATTCGTTCCCCATATTCTGATGTTGATCATTGTGTCGATTCCTTCTTAATAAATAAGGAGGATTAATATTAGCATTCTGGTTAATGCTGTGAGTGGCATGATTTTCCATTCTCGTTTGTCGAGGTATGGCCAATGCATCCCCGATACGGGCCATTTGGTCTGCTAATATCTCAAAACTAGTAGTAGTGTTTTGAACTAATGGATTTAGGACTGTAGTCAACTGTTGTGACAACATATTAACCATCTCAAAATTGCTTTCATCCATTTGTTGTCTGAGTACTCCTAATGAGTTACTGGAGATTCCAGTACTGGCATTTTCGATAGTATCGAAGTTGGACCGATGATAATCTCTATCGAATGTATATCTCCCATGATCCATATTTATTCTATGATCTATGTTTGGAGGTGTACTGTTGTGTACTCGAATTCCGCACACTCCCAGATTCCGGGGTTTCTTGAATTTTGAGACGCCCCTAAATTTGGAGATACTCCGAAATTTTGCGGCATACCTAGAGTTTGAAATGTACCTAAGTTTTGAGGCATTCCTAAGTTAAATCTTGAATTTCGTTGTACTGGAGAAGTACCAGCCCCACTCATATTATTAAGCGAAAAACCAGGTGGTCTTACGCTCATATACGACCCTGCATATGTTGTTATGGGATTCCCCATAATTTGCATATTGTTTGGTATCACAGTATTAGACCCTACTTGAGTATTTACTAATGTACCTGAACTTTGTTCATTACTTACAGGTATCGACATACCTGCGGTTGTCGATACTACAGGCATATTCCCATTATGCCCTTGCCCCCCAGTGTTTGGTGGATGTGAACCATTCAGACTGTTCAAACCCTCACTGTTACTATGGTTATTTGGTGGATTCTGACTCATTCTTATTACTCGTCCACTCCTTAATCTCATACACTTTCGAACTAACCAATTTTGTGTTTTTTCGACACAAATTCCCCTACCTGGCGCGCCAATTTGTTTCTGGTGGAATTTTGATTAATTTCGATTCTTAAGAGGCTTTGATTCTAACCAAAACTCAACCACGTAGATTCTTTATACTTAGGCTAGCAACTGAATTTCAATCGAAATGCGTATGAGAATCGAAAATACCACTGTATAGAAAATACTAAGATTAATAATCGAAAGCACTATTTTTGGTATTTTGTATTTGAAGTACTCGAAATAAGGAAAACAGTAAAGTGACAAATCGAAAAACAGTACCGAATGTAAAACTGCGAAGGAATGAAAAATGCGGAAACCTCAAATTTGCATTAAGTGTAAACGACAAAGCATCGAAATTGCGGAGATATAAATAACAGGAAATCGAAATTACAGAAATGTAAATAACAGGAAATCGAAATTACAGAAATGTAAATAACAGGAAATCGAGATTACAGAAATGTAAATAACAGGAAATCGAGATTGCGTTAATATAAATGACAATGAACTTAAACGCAGAAACTTAACTTTCATTAAAGAGAAATGACAAGGAATCGAAAATACAGAAACTTAAAGTTGCTAAACATAAACTGCATCACAGTAAATTACCAGGGAAAATAAAGAAAACGGTAAAGGAAATCAATGAACATGGAAATCCAGATCGCCAGAAACTTCATGATGTTCGTCGTTCTCCGGTAGACTTCTCACTAGTATTCCTGCTCTCTCTGCCAATTTCCCCCTTCTTCATTCATCCTTCACTCTATTTATAGGGCATCCTTTAAGCAAGTAACCTCTTAGGAGCAGTTAACGAAAACTGCTACCACGTCCTACGTGCATGTTGCAGTTTCTTCTTCGGTATCAAAACTGCACCCACGTTCCCATGATCTTCGACCTCTGTCACGGTTTAGAAACTGTTTCCTATGTATGCGTTTAACTGTTCCCCTCTTTATGACCTAGCCGGGATTTCGATATCTACGCAGATTAGCCTTCCTCTTGATTTTGATCTCTTGATCTCGAGAACTTTGAATTGCTCTTGGTTTTCCTTAACCTTAACATTACAAAATTTTAATTTCTCGAAAACATTCTTCCTTCGATTTCTCGATTCTAATTCTCGATCATATTGTCACATGGTCATCGAACGTATTTTCCAACTATCTTTCGATTTATCAATCTTTAACTCAATCAAAATGGTTTTCGATTTTTTGCTCCCATTTGTTTCTCGATAATATTTTTGATAATCATATAATAAGTTTTATTACTTGATATTATAAAAAAAAAAGTGCACTCAATATACAATCATTATACTCTTGATAATTAGTTTTCTATGCATGATTCTGTATAAGAAGGATAAGATTGCAACTGAAAAATGGGCATGATTCAGTATCATAGAAATGGAATCGACTTCATCATTCATATCTTATCCTAATCCACTGAAATTCATATCATATCTTACCTTGAGAACAGGTTCGGTGTTTAGTTTAATGAAAATGGGACATTGTTTTTTTCTGTATTTCTCATTTTTTTAAATAGATTTTTAAACCCAAGGGAATCTTTAGATTGTTTATATATATATATATATATATATATATATATATATATATATATATATATATATATATATATATATATATATATATAAGTTAATAAATGTTTTAAAATAATATTGACTAAAATATATTAAAAATTTATAAATATATCAAAATATTATATTTTATAATATGGTTGTGAAACATAATGAGACATTGTAATTTTAGTGTTTTTTTCACTATCATATGTTTTGTTATTTTGTAATTTCGTAATAATATTGATTTTTATAAAGATGGTGTGATTTTTTAAATATATAATCTTTAAGCGTTTTATTTTTTTTTAATATTATATTTTTATTTTGTAAAACTTAGAATTTCAGAATATCAGAAATTGATTGAAATTTAAATTCAAAATGTAAAATACTTATTTTGCATAATAAATTCTATTTTGTATGATAATTCATTATTTTATATTATTTTGATGTAATAATTTATTTTGAATGAAAAGTTCTTAGTAATATTATCAAATGAAAAATTATTATCATTATTATAAAGGTTTCATGGGTCTTAACTTCTTCACCTAATACAAGATTATCTTAGATATTTATTTATAACATATCCCTATTGTTGTGACTAGTTATCAGAACTTTTATTAAAATGTGTACTCACATTTAATAAATGATAATATATCAAATATATATATATATATATATATATATATATATATATATATATATATATATATTAATAGGGGAGAATATGATAAAAAAAAAAAAGAGTATCAAGTAGCAAAATGCATCTTTAGTTTTTTTAATGGGCCTGGGCCGATGAAATGGCGGAAGGAGCGGTGCCAGGGAAGGCATAGTCCGAATGGGTAAACTAACTATTGTGGTAATTGCGTGTGAAATTTTGATTTATCTTGGAGTTTAATTTGGTGACGAGTAGTTTTTATGAAGAACAATTAACATAGATTGCATGAAGGAGAGGGAATTGATCGATTGATTCCAATCGTTGAAACATGGGTGATCATTTGGCCAGGGCCCAGGATTTCGAGAACAGGGCAGAGAAGAAGCTCAGCGGTTGGGGTTTGTTTGGCTCCAAATTCGAGGACGCCGCTGATCTCTTCGACAAATCCGCCAATTCCTTCAAGCTCGCTAAATCATGTAATCTTAATTTTCTCCAAATTTTTGAATTACTGATCATTAATGGCCTGCATGTCGTGTTGGTTAAGGTTTGCAATTTATTAACATGTCAGGGGACAAAGCAGGATCCACCTACATCAAGTTGGCGAGTTGTCATTTGAAGGTAACTAAATAACATGTTGATTTCGTTTTTTTTTTCACGTATCTTGTTTTGATTTTATTTTCTTACGTGCTGTGATGAATTGGGTTGTTGTAGTTGGAAAGCAAGCATGAAGCTGCCCAAGCTTATGTTGACGCTGCGCATTGCTATAAAAAAACTAACATAAATGGTATTGTACAAGTTACATACATTAGGATTATGGTTTGTGAACAATTAAACATTTTTCTTTGTGTGTGTGTTGGGGTCAAATTGATATGTCTTTGTCCGTGATCAAATTGTAAAAAGCATGCCACTACTTAATGGAATTTTTTATGTTGAGGTTCTTTGTGTACCTTTTTCATGCAGAGGCTGTATCTTGCTTAGATAATGCTGTAAATACATTTTGTGAAATTGGAAGACTCTCTATGGCGGCTAGATATTTGAAGGTATATAGCTTTTTAATATATTTATTCAAGTGTGGCCACTGAAATGATTTTGGACTGGAATGCATAAGTTGTTCTAAATGGTGTTCTTTTTCCATTTGGCTATCCTTTTTTAGGCTTTCTTGCAGGAATTGTCTTGAATGTATCATGATTGGATCTGAATTTTTTTTTTTTTTGTATGCACAGGAAATCGCTGACTTGTATGAGTCAGAACAGAATGTCGAGCAGGCCGTTGTTTACTTTGAAAAAGCGGCTGATTTTTATGAAAATGAAGAAGTGAACACTTCTGCAAACCAGTGCAAGCAAAAAGTTGCTCAATACTCTGCCCAGCTAGAACAGTAAGATTTTCTAATTTTCTGTTGTTTTGATGTTGTTTGTTGTAGTGAACTGTGAAGGCCTTGATAATAATGCTTGAGCATGGTTTTCTTCTGTTGTTCTGTATTTATTGTTTACAATGGTTTTTGGCTTAATAAGCTCGCCACCTCTGTATCCCCCTGGACTCTACGGGGTTAATATCTGCCCAAGTTTTAGAATTTAATTTTGGTATATGTCCCTAACAGAACTCTTAACATTTTTCTGTCCAGAATCCTAGTTTTTTTAGCTCATTAAGATTTTGTGTGCCTGGTTTTGACAAATATTAGCCTATTGCTGCAGTTAGTTTTATTCATATATTGATGTTTGAGGCGGTTTTTAATTTGAGAAGGAACTCCGAATAATTGAAAGAAAGCAATAATTTGTTATGAAAGGAACTTTATAATAACCTTTTCCATATGTTAAATAGGGCATGAACTGTTCCAATTCTTTATATATGTCCAGATATCAGAGATCAATTGAGATTTATGAAGAGATTGCTCGCCAGTCTCTCAACAATAATTTGCTGAAGTACGGAGTTAAAGGACATCTTCTTAATGCTGGCATTTGCCAACTTTGTAAAGGAGACGTTATTGCTATTACCAATGCATTGGAGCGATATCAGGTCCAATATTTTTCAAGAATTTACATTTTGAGACTCTGATAACATCACCAGTTACTAAATTCTTTGGAAATGTATTTGTGTATGCAGGATTTAGATCCAACATTTTCAGGAACACGCGAATATAGACTTCTTGCAGTATGTTGCTAGTTGTGGGCATATCAATAACTGCCTCCTCTGTTATAATGTTCTTATTAATGTTTAGTTTTATTATAAATTTTGTTATTGCATGGACTATTTCATTATGACATTCCCGATGAAGTACTGAGTTTTTAAAAAAATATTGGCAGGATATTGCTGCTGCAATTGATGAAGAAGATGTTGGGAAGTTTACTGAAGTTATAAAAGAATTTGATAGCATGACCCCTCTGGTAAGCTCCAAATATTTGTCAAAAGAACAAGAAAAATTTTCAGTAAGTTAAGATCTGTATGCTTGTTGCAAAATGAACATATTATAATTGAATTAAACCCAATTTGCATCAATTTAACAATCTTGTTCTTTTTAATTTTCATCTAGTATGAATATTCCGGTGAAATATTGGTTCGTTCAGTTAAACATAGGTTACGAGATGGTACTTTTAGTTCATATTGGGAAATTTGTGTCAGACACTATAAAATTGAATCAAATCCTACAATTTTATTTGTGAGAAGAACGTTGAGGAAAAATAGTTCTCATTATTTTTTGTGTTAACTATGTTGAAATGAGTAATGAACTGTTGTCATTGTTAACTTAAACTCCTTGTTCTGAACAATATTCTCTGCATTCCATAGATAGCTTTACTCTTATTTGATCAACATTGAGTGTTTACGTGAATGTTGTGTAGGATTCTTGGAAGACAACACTTCTTTTGAGGGTGAAAGAGAAACTTAAAGCCAAAGAACTTGAGGAGGATGATCTTACTTGAATTGGACAATAGTCTTCTTTTGGTTGGATTTCATGTTTGATATTTATCATCTGTATTATGCTTATTTGTCCAGTTGTTCATCTCACTACTAATATAAACTGTAAACTGTACTTTGCTTTGTGTTTCAATTGGAGTGTTCTTTATGAATTATTGAAATGAATATGTCAAGGTAGCTAGAGTCTGATCTGTTGATCCACTTTTATTGGATTGGCGTATCCTGGCGAGTTCTGATCACAAACAGATTTTATTATAGCAATTTATTTGGAAGAATGATTTCCGGTATCAATCCATCATAGAATATAATGCGGTACAATTTTCATTTAAACCTTGCCATTTTCATAATGATTGTCTTTACAAGGAACGGCGTGATTTAACGAGTAAGAAAACTGAATTTCGAAATTTGTGGTTTCTATGATCTCTATTTACAGTTTTAACTTGACATTTTCAAATAAATTAAGTTTTCTAACTAATGATGATTACCTAAATTTGTGTTTTCTATTTGATCTCCTCGATATTGTTAAACGTATAATTTTCTTTATTGTATATTTACCTAAAGTATTTCCTAATGAACTCAATAAGGTGGTCTTCTCTGCACCTTGCAATGTCCTTCTGTTTTTACTACATAGTAAATATCAATACTAATACTGACTTACTGATTTTTTTTTTATAGTATCCATTGTTATTAAAATGAGATGACGTTATTTATTTTAAATGCGAAAAGAGTCTACTTCCACTATTTTCTTGAAACACCAACCGTGTTAACTGAGATCATTATGAGGAGTTTATCAGTAGAGAAAATTTATGTGCAGTACAATAGAAAATTTTATTATTATTGCTAATTAAAATTAGTGTTTCATCTCTATAATTTACGTAATGAAGATTAACATCAATGATTGATGCTTATTATTAATATAAAATTCCAAAGTTAATCGTAAAACAATACTAAAAATACTTGAAGTCATACCTGAACTTTATCCTTAATCACCGGGGATTTTCAAGTAGAGAGGAACGGTTCATGGGTACCTTCCGTATTGTATGAATAACCAAATCTAGAGAGGACCTGTCATCGCACAAGTTTTGTGATTCAGGAGGTTTTCTAAAATTTCCACCTTCCAATTTTTCAACTCATTCAAAAAGAAACAAACACATGGATTGTCATTTTTAATAGTACTTGGATTTGGGAGCGGAATGTTGGCCCAACTTAAAGCCCAACACAAAATGAAGGAAACAAATGTCTTTTTGTTAGTAAGTACTACTATTACCGGGTGAGACTATCATTGAAACACAATATATTTATTAATTATTAAAAAATTACTTAAAATAATTCATGTGATAAAAAAATTTGAATTTTTTGATCGAGCAGGTATCATATTTTGGTTCTTGAAATTTTCTTCGACTTATGCCTATTTGAGGTATCTAATAAAAGCTGTTGCCTTGTATGGGCTAATGTTACGTTTTTCGGATCAAAGTTACGAAGCCCAATTTTACAACACTGTGCTGAAATCACGCTTTATTAAATGTAGATGATGTAGTGGTGGTAGTTTGCAATTTTAAATTATATTTCTTTGTATGTGAGTAGTAAAACATGGACTTGTTTTTAGAAGATATATTGATGTTGTACGAAATAACAGATGGTATCTACGTACTTTAGCCGAATATAAATCTTAGTTTGAATTCTCTTACCAAGATAATATAAAAAAGAGTTTGTTCAACAAGAATAAGACAAAGTTTTTATTTTTATTTATTTTTTATTGAATAGATGTCAAGCTGAGCTAATTCACCTAATAAATAAAAAATTAATAACCAACCAACAACGGTAGTAGACATTGCAATACGACCTACACAAACTCTGCACCCTCATTCCATTCATACAACGGTTAATTAATAATGTTTAATCACATCTTCATTACAAATATAATTGTGCATACATTAAAACTATAGGTTTATGATAATATTAATTTAATAATCAGATATACACTCTGAAATAAAAAGTTAAAATCTTAATCAGTATTTATTAGTTTTAAATAGCTCATAATATAACCGTTGGATCATTGCAAGGGCTATTATGGGCAATTCATGGAAACTCAGCCCGGCCGACATAAACGAAGTTATTGTAATTAAAACAAGAAAATTTATACTTTAAACATCTGCTTTAACAATTATAAGTTTTGTTTATACTACTTAATGAGTCTTCTAATTAAGTTATGTTTAAAAAATATAATATTGCTTTTTTCGCTGAATTAATCATACATGTTACGAAAGTGGCTGGAAAAAAGTAACGATCACGTAATCAAGAGTTATAATTTTACGAAAAACAAAGACTGAATGAAATGAGTGACACGGAAAGAAAGAGAGGCGATTTTTTTCGTAGGGTATTTGTCATGGTGGTGGCTGGTGGGACCTGTCTTTCCCTTCCTCCATGATAAGTTTCTAGAAAAATTCGTTTTTCCTTGGGACGCTGTGTTTGAATTTTGAAAAGACGGTAAATTAAGAAAGAAATCCATTTTTTTATTTAAAGAAAGTTCCAAAATTTATTTTTATTCAGTATTTTCTCTCAACTAATAATGGTCTAAATAATACAAAAAAACACATGATGTATCCTTGTCTTGTAGCCTCTTTTTGACTCAACCACACAGTATATGCCTGTTGTAATGGTTGTCGGAAGAAGGAATGAATATAATTTTCAATTATCACCCACCAAATAAATTTTCAATATTTTCAATATGTACTTCCTTTTGCATTTCAGGGAAGTAGCGTTCAGCTATCTGTTTGTTTGACCAAGTGCTGAGAAATAAACAACTTTTCTGTTCGTTTTACATGTTCTGTGTTTACGTTGTACAGTTTGCTCTTTCCAGAGTTTAGATTCTTTACTGTGAGTTTTGCAGAGAATATAACTCTTCCTTGGATTCAACGCTTTCTTCCGTTTTGGTCACCTTACAGGTACTTTTTTACTTGCTCTTAACGCCTCATACCTTCCGTCATCGTTTTTTTTTTCTTTGCTCTTTTCCTTGAGATGAATTTATTGGAACTATTTGAATTAGTTTTGTGTAACTGTTAGTTGATTTTGTTTGTTCTAGGTTATGAATTTTGATCAATTAAAGTGTATAATGATCTGTTTTTCAGGTCACCATCGCATATATTAAATAAAGTCTGAATTTTTGTCTTTGTTCTAATGAATTCTCGGGAAATTTGATATGGATTTGAAAATTTAGCACAAATGTTCTTTTCTTATCCTCGCTGATTTTGTTCCTACCACTGATTATGGGGTTCTGATTTTGATTGAGAAGGCTCAGGATTCATATCGGAATGGTTTCGGTTGATAATGGTAAAGATGAAATTGAGGAATCTAATGGAAGTAAAGTCAATGAGTTTGCTTCCATAGATATTTCAACTTCTCGAAGAACACTCGTGGGAAATGAAAACCCTCAGAGAAAATTCCAGGGCACCTTGGGTTCTATTCCCAATAGGATCAACTTCTTGAAATTTGGGTCTGCATCTGCCAAATTCAAGCGGCTTGCAACAGAAAAGGACCAGATTTCACAGGCCGTGCCTTCGCCGGGTTCTCTTCGCTTGAGGGAGCGCTTCAGTGGCATGTTTGCTAAGAAACTTGACTGGGGTTCGCTCCAGAAGATGTGTGCTGAATGGATTAAGGACCCAATGAACATAGCCCTTTTTGTCTGGATCTTGTGTGTTGCTGTTTCAGGTGCAATTCTGTTCCTTGTCATGACTGGCATGTTGAACGGTGTGCTTCCGAGGAAGTCTGATAGAAATGCGTGGTTTGAGGTGAACAATCAAATACTCAATGCACTGTTTACACTGATGTCTTTGTATCAGCATCCAAAGAGGTGCTACCACCTTGTGCTTCTGTGCAGGTGGAGTCCACAGGATATCTCAAAACTTAGAAAGGTGTATTGCAAGAATGGGACTTATAAGCCCCATGAGTGGGCACACATGATGGTAGTGGTCATTCTCCTTAATTTGAACTGTTTTGCTCAATATGCACTTTGTGGTCTAAACTTGGGGTATAAAAGATCTGAACGCCCGGCCATAGGAGTTGGAATATGCATATCTTTTGCTATTGGTGCGCCTGCAGTCGCTGGTCTATATTCCATTCTTAGCCCTCTAGGTAAAGATTATGATTCTGAGATGGATGAAGAAGCACAGGTTCAATATTCTGGTGCTCAGAGGCAAGAGCAGCTGAGAGTGAAATCATTTCAGAAGAAATATTCATTTGCATCCAGACAGCAACAAAGGGTTATTGAAAATAGACCACAGTGGAGTGGAGGAATACTTGACATTTGGAATGACATTTCTCAAGCATATCTATCACTTTTCTGTACTTTTTGTGTCTTTGGTTGGAACATGGAAAGACTTGGCTTTGGAAACATGTATGTTCACATTGCTACTTTTATGCTGTTCTGTATGGCTCCCTTCTGGATCTTTACCTTGGCTGCGGTTAATATTGAGGATGACACTGTTAGACAGGCTCTAGTAGCTACTGGGATCATTCTGTGTTTTTTCGGTGCACTTTATGGTGGCTTTTGGAGAATCCAAATGAGAAAAAGGTTCAATTTACCTTCTTATAACTTTTGTTTTGGCAAACCTTCAGCTTCTGATTGCACACTTTGGCTCTGCTGTTGCTGGTGCTCTCTTGCTCAAGAAGTAAGGACGACGAATAGCTATGACATTGTAGAAGACAAATTATATAGGAAAGAAGGTTCTTCTAGTGACCAACAGCCAATGTCACCTTTGCCTCGTGAAGATGTGGCATCAACCAAATCTGGCACAAGTTCTCCTTTGGGTAACAACTCTTCCCCTTCTATGATCAAGCCATCTAGTCCTCTAAGTTCAAGCAGTTTCTTGAAGGAAAATCGTAGTCCAGAGAGGTCACTATATACTGTGAAAGAAGAGCTTTCTGAAAGAGGTAAAGATGAGACAATGAATCCACCTATTCCACCATTAATACAAAGGGAATCTCCTTAGTCCCTAAAGGTTCAAGACAGGAATGCTGTCTGCTTCCGACTAAACATGACACATTATACGGGATGGTCCATTAAATTTTGTGCTTAGAATATCCTAATTCATGGTTTTATCCTCAGTTCTCTCACAGACATGTATATCACCTTGAATTTTATTGTTGGAACTACATTCTAGATGTTGAATATCAGTCACATTGTGTGATTAATTGAAGAGATGTCTGTTTGAAACCAAGGTCCTTTGTTTCTTTTTTTGAGGTTTTCTTTACAAATTTTCCCCAAGATGAGATGATTTCAATTCAACGACAGAGGAAATGGTTGTAGAGAACATTGTACACTTAAATTTTGCATGTGCTGCTTCTCGTGAGAGTAAAATAAATGATTGTGTATGTATACACAACCAGGTTTCGTTTTCCAAGTTGTATTTGACAAATGACCTCCTGTTGTAACTTGTAACCCTATAAAATACGGGATAATAACTTTTTGGTTTATGAATAATTATTAGATTACGTAATATTTAATATCTATACATTTTCTATTTAGTTGATTGAAGAGAATGTGCAAATAATGATATATTTTTTTATCTGTTCAATTTTTACTGATAAAAAAAAAAAAGCACACATTTTAGTGAAAGATTGGGAAGGGAAAACCATTAGCCTCGTACATCATGACAATTTATTTTGCCAGACGAAAAATATGATGGTTTGATTTTTGAAAATGATTAGGTATCATTACAGCACAATAAATTACCAGTTATTCAACGTGGCATACACATAGCTGTAAGCCCCAAAACTTCTTAAAAACTGTAAATTCTTTTTCGAGGTTTGGGTAATGTTTACTGATACACCAAAAAGGTTTCCAACCACTTTTGGTGTTCACATCTTCGCCATTTCAAAATAATATAATATTTAAAAATAAAATAAAGTATCAAGATTTATGAGGACATGTTTATTACCTATAAGTTAAGAGAGAGTAATTATATTATGTGTCCTCGAGAGTATTTATTACCTATAAACTAAGACGAGAATAATTTACTACCTATTACTAAAGTCACCAATTCTTTAAAGTGAATTTTTTATTATGATTCTTTATGTCTAAGATTAAATATAAACTGCAAACTTTGTCTGATAAAAATTGTTCTAATATTAAAAATGCATCCCAATATATTAATAATTAGATGGCATTGCCATTAAAAAAAATAACATTACCTTATATACTTCTATGATAAAAAGTTTATCTTTTATTAATGGTTCATATCCTTCTATATTACGAATGCCATACTTATATTAGTCTATAAAATATAATTAATAAATAATTCATCTATAAATTTGAGTTGAAAAAAATGGATTTCTTTGTTTTCCTTTTCAGCATGTAATAAAAACGCAATTCAGATATTAGTTTAATTTATGAAGAAATAAAAATAGTTTAGTTAAAAAAATATAGAATATAGTTAAATAAGCTAAAAAATACTTTAGTTCAATTTGTTTGAACTATTTTTTTTACAAATTATATATTAGTTGTTTAATTCAATTATTTATATAATTTTGTTGAGTCATTTGAACACTCAGTCATTAGTTACAATATCAGTAATAATCAAACATCGTATTAGAGTTTGAAAAGATTCATCCACCAATGGTCTCTTCATTTTATCAGATCAGAAGAGTAAAGGGTATGACTTTGTTTCATTTGAATTGGAAGATTTTCCAATTGTTGCCTTTCTGGAGTTAGAGTTTGCTAAGCACTACGAAATTAGTGTATTGTCACACAAAAGAACTGGTTATGGATATGATTGATGTAAGCATTATTCTTTAATCTTCTTTGAATTCTCTTTTGGTATGGTTTTATTTAAGGAATTGGTTCAAGACACTAAATAAAAATACCCTTGTCCTTTTTCTTTCTTGAACTCGTAATTGATCTGTGTCCTTAATTTTCATTTTCTCCTTAGCAAAGGTGTGCTGCATTTAACTGACATTATTTATGTACCAGCTGAAGAGAATATGCTGCAAATCGTTGTTTGTTACCCTAGTTACATGTTGAAGGAAGTTACCTTCAAAATCTTATATTAATATTTTTATGAAGTAATGTTCTAATCTCACGTTTAATTGTATGAATGAATTTGAGCGCAAAATAGCCTCATCAATCTTTTTCTTAAAAACTTAACCAACATGTGAATCTATACAGGTAAAAAAATGTTTGGGATGTCTGAAATCAGATTTGTCAATGATCCAAGCATTCCATTGAAAAATAAATCAAGTTGGTTGACAGTTCTACACAAATTGTTCAAACAAGTGATACACTAATATTGAATGGAGGACTTTTTGCTTGAGTTTTTCCATAAAATTTGCTGACTATGGCAGTCAGGTAATTCTGCTGGTGTGATTTTAGGTGTTGTCATGCACCTTCTCGTCTTTCCTTTCTCCAGTCCCATGGCTTCTCGGGATTTTTTGAAGCCCATAACCCAACACGCTTTGCTCTGGCCTGTTCTTCCCACTAACATAAGAAGTAAAGAAAGTTAGAATATATATGACTTTGAAAAATAATGAAAGAATCATAACATTGGTTCGTAATTACTGTTTCTAGTTCCTGCCGTTTGTCATAGGCTTTGTAGTGCCATGCTAAACCCTTCTTTAACATCATTTCCTAATCACAAATGAAAATCAAAATGAGAAACTTAGAAAGTAATAACATGTATATATGAAGAACTCAGCAATCAAATGAAATACCTGTACAAAAATGCCATTACAATAGATATCACCTACACAACGACCATAGCGATCATCTCCATAAACAAGGACCCTCAAAGACTTTCCTTGAACAATCTTGATCAGTTCAGCTTTGGCTTCCTTTCCATATGGCATTGCACTTTCTGGTGCATCAATTCCCCTGTTTTGTTTCTAGAGTTCATTACTTGCTTCCACAACAACTTAACATTGTATTTAGTGCATGTTTGATCATTACCTTAATCGAATCCTATACTTCTTAGCTAGGATTTCCTCGCTTTGAATAGTAATCACCCTAAATAACCAAACAATTAGAAGAAAAATATCAAGTGTTGGAAGCATAGACATAAGAAGTTTGCGAAACTACAAACCAACCGATATCCTGAATCAATTATCTGTTTGTGAAATGCATCAGCTTCTTCAAAGTTCCTTCGGGCACGAGCTTCTGATCTTTTCACTGCTGCTGCATGCACGTTGCCAGGGACAAAGGCCGATTCCCTGGGGTCTTCTGTGCTGACATACACTGTTACAGTATCCCCATCTGCTACTGCTTTTGCATCAACCTAGTCTCATTGAGAATAATGATGAACCATGTCATTTTGTCAAAAACCACATTCTCAGCACAAGTATACATGTTTTTATAGATGGAATGGAAATGTTATATTCTTACAGGCAAGGTGTGCATTTCAAATTGAACTCCATCAGGCAAGGTTGAGGGAGGTTGAACAGTTAATTGAACGAGGCTGTGTGGAGGAGGGAGACCATAGAAAGCCAACAATCCCTAAAAATTAAGGAAAATGATGAGCTTACACCTCCTTTAAATCAAACATCCATTTAACACCTTATTTTAATAATATATAATAATAAAACTTTTAAATTGTCATGTTTATTATCATTATAAATTAAGCAACATAAATTTCATCCACAATGAGCTTTGTTTTTTGCTGGTGACTTAGCCTCCTACGTAACATTCCAGCACTCATACTTAAATTCAAGGTTCGGAAGTTCATGCAAACCTCAACATCTGCTTTTTGGTGTCTTTTCAATGTCTGAATGACAAGTCTAGCTGCTTCTTCAGGTGTCTTAGGTGGGGGTTTTGCCTCTTTCCAAGCATCTACTAACTTTCTATACCTTCAAAAAATTGTAAGAAACAGCACATAGTTCAAAGGGAAAGGTATCTGAACGTTTAAGATATTCAATATAGGCTCTATTTAGGCTAATTTTCTCAATAATCACTGGTAAGAAAATTAAACAACTTAAGTTTCTCACACAAGTTAATCAGAATCTTGGTAAAAGGAATGTGTTTAGCATACCAATTAGCCTGAGCCTTCTTGGAAGACACAACATGCTTGCTGAGTCCTTCTGGGACCTAAAATATTTTAAAGGGAGACCTCACCAAAATCAGTGTACCAAATCAGTTGAAAAGCATAAAGACCACACAAATGAACATGCCAAATTAGCTGAAAAGCAGAACTAGACAAAGTATGAAATCCTAATTGAAACATGACTGGAGCAACATGTATGCACCTGGGAGTTGTTGTCAAAGTCAAATAGATCACGGGCAAGTGCTGCTACACCAACGTTGGCAGAGGATACGCCGTGAGGTCCAAGTGAATCAGAATCACCAGCTGCCGTGGGCTTGCAGCAATGACTGTAGAGAAACCTCAGGGCGTTCCCCATGATTCAGTTTGATTAAAGGTTGAAACTTAGAGAGAAAACGAAAGAGATTAGGGTGTAAAGGGCTGACAACAAAGCTGCAATTGGGATTGGTTACAGAGACATGATGGACCAAGAAAAAGAAAATACAGGTGGCGTGCTATGATTGGCTGTTGCCTTGAATTTTTAACACAAGTTTTTAACTACATCTTTACAATTAAATTAAATTAAATTACTTAAAATATCATGAGAATGATTTATCTAAAGAATTTTCTTTTTATTCTAAATATTTTTAAATAATTCAAATATGAAACATATAATAAAATATTTACTTTTATTTTATTTTAAACAACTCCCATTAATTGTATAAAGTTGTTGGAAATGAAACTGTCGAAGTAGAAGGTCCTCGTCAACTGTTTTAATTTAACGTATAATGTGGGTAACGCTTTTGAGCGTAAAGGTAATGTGGCTTGCTTTAGGGGCCATTGATGGCGTGGTTAAATCTAATTTGATGCTCTATCTTTAAAAAATACAGCATGAGTAAAATTTAAGATTTTCATTTATTTAGTTATTACTTTTAAGAATCAGAATTTATTGTTCTTACTACTTTAAAGATAATTATATGCAATAATTAATTTAGTATAATATTATAAAAATTGTGTATCTTATCTTATCTTATATTTTTATTATTATCTCATCATATTAAAAAATATGTATTAGAATAATTTATTTAGAGTATTGTGGTATTCTTCTCTTTAAAATGGATTTTTTATACAACAACTGTTTCTTAATAAAGGTTATTTCATAAAGAAATGAGTATGAATGGAAGGATTTTAATTTTGTGATATTTTATTTCACAAAAGTGGAGATAGTTGGTAGGAAAAGGTTTTATAAGACTACTTGGTTCAATCAAAATAATAATTGTTCATACTTTTCTACTACTGTGCTGTGTACTGCCAAGGTTGTTCCTGCGTCAGCAAAAGAGATAGATAACAGGGAAAAGACAAATGAATGCAGGGCCATTTCAATTGAAAATGAACATATTCACTTTATTTTATTATCAGAAATATTAGATCTGCATTATTTTTTCTATAGAAATTTCAACAAATGGTGCAACTCATTCATTGTGAAGCAGATGCTCGGTTCTCTTTACTTGGTGGCCATCTTTTCTTTAAATAAGTATATCTTACTTAAAAAAAGAAAAATTGATATAATTATATCTTAAATTATTATAAAATCATTTAATTTATGTTAATTTTAATATTTTTTTCTTAATATAAGATGAATTCAAGAATACCTTGATATAAGAGTAAGGAGCATAATTATCAACATAATTAGAATAAAATTGAAAAAAGAAGAATGTTTAAGCGAATGAATGATGCTGAGACCCGATCCAAATTCTCTTATAAAAAAATAAGTATGTTTTGAGAAAAATAAGTAGTCTTAGAGAAGAAGAGATACGACTACTGTTAGGGTTTCATCTAATCTTCATCAATTAGAGCATTGTAATGGCCAACATGAGTGACTAACTTCATTCTCTTACGATTTGGTGCACTTCCTTTGAACTCTTTTGTATCATAGTGATATTTTGAAATATTAATCTATGATTTGATGTTGTTATTCTTATCTTTTATGCTTTGGAATGATTTATTCTTGATTTTTCGAGGTATGATTGGAAAATATATCTTGAACCCTAGATCACGGTAAGAATATTTGTTACGTTAATTGTCAGGAATAGAATGAATGTATCAATTGCTTAAACACCCTAAACCTAATGCTGGAAAATCTCTTAATTGTGTGAGGAATCAACATTTATTAGGTTTTCTTATGAATTTCATGTGTGAGGAATCAACATGAATGATTTGAGTAGGTGAAATCAATATTGTTAGGTTAATTGACATTCTTAATTGACATAGTCATTACAAAAGAGGGATGAGAAAGGAAGCCAATCTTAAGTACCTTTAATTGATATTTTCTCAACAATTTACAGTTCTTTGTCATTTAATTTCAATTCAACTTTTATTTGCAAATCTACTTAGTAAGCATAATTGGGAATTTCCATTGAAAGCTGTTCTTCGTGGGATCGACTTTTATTTAATTGAAATATTATACTGCGATTGATAATATTGGAACGATTGCCAATAATTCAACAAGTATTTCTGGCGCCGTTGGCGGGGAATAGTGTTCTTTGAGAATTCTTTGTTTAGCTTATTGAGTATTTTTATTATTATTATTATTATTATTATTATTATTATGTTTTTAGTTTATGTTAATATTTGTTTGAGTTACTCTTTTGATTTATGCGTTTAAGAGGACAGGTATCTTCGGAGCGGTTAGAATTTAATCCGAGAGATTGAAAAAACAGCTCGGAGGAGCCGGGGTAGAAGAAGAAGGGAAACTCAAGAACAAGCTACAAGAGAATCTGCTAATTTTTCTTCCACACTTGATTTACAAGACCCAATTATAAACGATATGGTGGAAGAAGGAGCAAATATAAATCCAAATCCAAATCAAAATCCAAATGCAAATCTACCTAGAAGAACTCTTAGAAATTGTGTTATGCAGCAAGGTCCAAGACATTTTTCCAGCATTGTCATTCCGGATGATCATACATTGTTGAATCCAACTTTTTAAGCTTGATTAATGTTCATCAATTCACTGGATTGGATCATGAAGACCCTTATATTCATTTGTCTACTTTTTATGAGTTGATTGGTACCATGGGATTTAGAGTAGCAAATCTTGAATCTGCATATTTGATATTATTTCCTTTTTCTTTGGCAAGTAGGGCAAAGGAGTGGCTGAAAGCACATCCTAATCAGAGTTTGACTAATTTGAGTAGTGTAGAAGAAAAGTTTCTGAATAGATTTTTCCCACCATCTCGCTACATCAAAGCAAAATCTGACATCACTTCTTTCAGAAAAGGAGCAAATGAACAATTTTGTGAAGCATGGGAGAAATTTAAATCACTGTTGAGAAGTTACCCAAATTATGGATTTAATGACGTTTCTCAGTTGAATATTTTCTATACTGGCTTGCAACATGATGCAAAGATGCTATTAGAGGCTGCAGCAGCAGGATCCATGTTGGATGTAGAAATTGATCATGCCACCAGAATTATTGATGCACTAGCCTTTACAAACCAATAGGCCCAACATGATAGACATCCAATTCAAAGGAATGAAGTCCTTGAACTTAACATCACAAATGCTCTCTTAGCCCAGAATAAAATTTTGACACAACAAATTGAAACATTAACCCAGAAAATAGAGAAATTACCTCAACAAATGTACACAGTATAATCTATTCCTAATCGACAAATGAGTTCTGACGTGTGTGGATGTGATCATGCAAATGAACAATGCTCTTATCAAGGCAACATTCAGCAAAAAGAAGTTAATTATATGGGGGCCCAAGGTAGTAGTCAAGGCAGACAAGGCAATTTTCCCAATCCCAATAATTATCAGAATAATTTTGCACAAGGATGGAGAGAGAATCAAAATCAGAATCAGAATTTTGGGTGGAACCAAGGTGTTAGTTCATCTACTAGACAACCTGCATTTCAACAATAGTCATATCAATAACCTCCATATCAACAGAAATAACAACATTATCCTTCAGTGTCTGACAGAATAAGTAAATTGGAGGATACTTTAGAAAAATTCATGCAAGGCACTATGGCTAATCAGAAAAATACTTAGGCTTCATTCAGAAATATAGAGATCCAGATAGGCCAACTAGCTAAGCAATTATCTGAGCAGCAACAAGGAGGACAATTTTCAGCTAACACACAAACCAACCTCAAGGAGCAATGCAATTCAATAACTACAAGGAGTGATAAGGTTATAGGAGAAGGTATTGGTGACAATCTGGCTGTAGAGAAGGAAATCCTACAAGAAAAAGAAGATGAGTGTGAAGGAGAAAAAGAGAAAAATAAAAGTGAGAGTATAGAAAAAGAAAAAATACTGAAAAAGAAGAAAAAAATAAAAAGAGTGAGAAAAAGAGGGAGAAAGATGATGGTCAAATACCGCAATTAAAGGATTTACCATATCTTCGTCATTCTTCCAAGAAAGATAAAGAAAGACAGTTTGCAAGATTCATGGATATTTTCAAGCATTTATAGATTAATATCCCACTCATGAAAGCTATGAAGCAGATGTCGACTTATGCAAAATTCATGAAAGAGTTGTTAACTAAGAAAAGAATATTTACTACAGAAACAGTGAAGCTAGAAGCATGACGCAACACTATAATTCAGAAATCATTACCTCAAAAGTTCAAAAATCCTGACAGTTTCACTATACCAGTCACAATACAATTGAGACATTACAATTGAGACCAGAACAAATGGTGCAACTCATTCATTGTGAAGCAGATGCTTGGTTCTCTTTACTTGGTGGCCAACTTTTCATTAAACAAGTCTCATCCCTTCAGTTCATGGACAAGCTTTTCTGGTCTGTCGTCAAGACCTTCAAGTGCAATGCAGAAACCATAGAACGTGGAACCTTCATCATCTTTAATGACATGTCACTATTTGCTGCTTCTATTCATATTCTACTTACATGTCACTAAATCATTATTATTATAAGCATTTTTTATATTTTCAAAAATTATTAATTCTTTTAAGATTTTCTTGTGCCAATTTTTATCTTTTTTTCAAATTTTACTTTCCTGTAAATAATTACTGAATTTTTTTTATTCATGCCGATTATTTATAAATTAAATCTTACTTTCTTTCATTCCCAAATTATTATTCTTTTAATTTTACCTTTTTCTCCTAAATATTATTGACATGTATTATTTATTTATTAAAAAATTGATATACCCTTTTAAAAGTTTTATACCTTTTGAATGGAGGTTTCGCCTCAGACCTTAGTTTAAACCAGTAAACACAAGACACAACAAAAAGTTATGTTGTAATCGAGTCTATTTGCGTTGTGAATCTGTATTTAGCATTTTTGTTATCCCGGTAGACAAATGTCGCGAATGGAATGAAAGCTGCAGGAATTATTAGTTGCTTGTTGCATTCCTCTTCATCTTTGTTCACTTGTTTCTTGGCCAAACTCAACAGGGACATTGTGGTTGCCAACCTTACCGAATGAGTGGAAGCCAATAATTCCCAAATCAGCAATTTGGAATAAAGTTTTATGTACCTTTCATTCACACAAAGTGAAGGATTCCATCTTTTCAAGTGCAGAATCAGATTCTTCATTCCTGGCTTTTTTCATATAAATGGAGATGCATGTCATCAAACTGTGTTTAAGATAAACACCCTCCCCTTTCTCTTTCTTCTACATGCTCTAGCCTTCTAACATCAAAGACGCTATTTTTTTTGTCAATTTTCCACTCATACATAATTAGAATGGCGAGTGTAAGAAACTTACTACTTGGCTATTTCATCCCTTTGTTTTCAGCTACACATGGGGCAGAAATGAAACTCATCAAAGTTTCTTCTTTTTGTGACATCAGGTGGTGGAAGTTAAGGTTGGTTTACACTGTGACGACTGCATCAAGAAGATTCTTAAGGCCATCAAGAAGATTGAAGGTAACTAACTAATTTCCAAAGGTCACAATGATGTAATTAGATTTATGATGAACTCTTCGTTTCCATGAATAATTTTTGACGTGGGCTTGCAGATATTGAGACGTATAACGTGGACAAACAGTTGAACAAGGTCATCGTTACAGGCAATGTCACAACGGAAGAAGTTATTAGGGCTCTTCAGAAGATTGGCAAGAATGCAACCCCGTGGGAAAATGCTGAAACCCAACCCAATTGCTGAATTCAAGTTTTCTTTTCCTCAAGAAACATATAAAATAAGGACTTAGATTATATACTGTACTCGCATGAAGTTAAATTCTATCATATATGCAGAGTTTGAAGAGGCATAATTATAGTTCCATTTCAATTTTATAATTCTTGACTTTTACCTCAAAATAAAAGCACGTGATAGAGACATAAAATGAAATAAGGAATCATTAAAAGTAAATATTCAATTTATTTGTATACAGAGTATTTGTTTAACACTGTCTACTGTGGTAAAGGGAGCAACATAAATTGTGGATAGCAATAGTAATAGTAACCGTGATTGTTGTTGTTGTATTTGTCTCATATTATGTAGCTCACATCTCTATCAAATAACTAATGGTGTTCAAGTATCAGTGAAAACTAAGAAATGAAGGAGTATAGATGAAAATCTGCAGTGTATTAAAGCATACGCTAGATTACAGATGAATTCAGGATAAAACTCACAATTACAAGCAAAATATTGGTGAGATGAAATGAAACTACAGTTTTTTACTTTATCTACTTTATACATAGCGTTCCTCTGATACAGAATTGAGAGGTTTTGATTTAAAATTAGTTTAGCAATTTGATGGTCATGAAAATAAGCAGGCAAAAAGTAGACAAAGCATTTGCTGGAAACCCAAAGATCAGAGACATAAGTGATGGATCAAAGAAGACACAGATGGTACTTTTAAAGAATACAGGGTAAGGAAGATGCAGGGTTTCTTTTAGAGGGGATACTGGATGTTAGATAAAAAAGAGTTGTGAATATTTCAAAATCCTGAATACTGTACCTCATTAATACTAATAACATTTAATTTTTTCTTTTTCTATTACATGATATGTGTTGTTGTGCATTCATTAATATAGTAGAATATAGCTAATGAGTTAAAAATGCACATCCAGCAAAAGGAAATGATGTTCATCCAAACATGTTTAGAAGAAGCTATATTTAGATTGCCATTAACGTACCTGAAAGTCAGTTGGAAGAAACTTGGTCAAAATTTGGGTCATGTATATATATGATACATATTTAAATGTGTTAGGGTCATTATTTATTAAGCCAAATAATAAAGTGATCTGACTAAATTAAAAAGGTTTGGCTAAAGACATATGTCATGAAAATAAAATTGTGTAGAGACCATAGAGCAATTTCTAATTTGATGAGGGGTCAAATTGGAAATACTAAAACTTAAGTAATTAACCTAATTTTGGTTATTTGAAGGGGTTATGGTCCCCTTCTGGGAGCACGTAGACAGAACGTAGTTACAGTCCCGTTCTTTTCTTTCTATCCCCATCAAGAGAGAAAACAAAGAGGGAAATACAGGTGTTTTTCAGGTGGAAGACCATAAGATCAATAGTGCTCTAAAAAGGACATCATCATTATGGCTAATTCAGGTACGCTTTTGCATTTAGTTTATAACATGTTTATGAGTATGAGATTATTTTATATTTGATCGTTAAATTGAAGATCATATTTAATTATCAGTTTACCTAACAATTGGTATCAGAGCCTCTCATACTTGAGTCATGTTTATCTTAGGAAATATTTAAGAATTTAGATTAATTTACGTAACCCTAAATCCCTAATTAAAAACCCTAAAATTGAGAATCTGGGTTTCTTAAAACCCAATTCTTTGTTCCGCGTGTGGCATTATCCGGATACGGCACAACTGTTGGCTTCTCACGGTGGCTCTCAATTTGGTTCTGAGGCAACGATGTTGGTCCTCTTCGTAGATCAAGAGATGACACAGACGTGGGGAAATTTATTGTGCAAAAACCACATACGAAACATGAGTCATTCATATTATTACGACGGAATAACGAAAATTCTGTCATGGCTTCCAGTGAAATCGCTTATGCGATTTAAATGTATCAGCAAATGGTTTGAATCATTGATAACCGACCCATGGTTCGTGAAACTGCATCTTCAAAGATCACCCAGAGGAGAGAACACTGGTGCAGTGCTTAAGCACCGACAATGTGAATCCTCCTTTCGTCTTTTCCTACCCTATCCGTATTATGGAAGACAAAGTGTCGTTTGATGTCCATGATCGCGCCCTCGAATACGATCTTAGCGGCTTGTTCGGGGTTATTGGAACCTGCAATGGACTGCTGTGTCTGGCTGGACCTCACATGTTCCACGTGTGTAACCTCGCCACCAGAGAAACAGAGGAATGCCCCTTTCCTGTTTGTTTGGCCGATCAATTTTATTCCATAGCTGCATTTGGCTACAATGCTCTACGCGATGTTTACAAGGGTTCAGGATCGGGATTGTATCCGAATAGCACTCTTAATTGGATGACGTTGGATCGTGAGGATGCCCACCACCATGACTTGATGATTGCATTTGGTGAATTGGCCTTAGGATGTGCGTGGGGATAAGGATTGGTGTTGGACTGCTCATGCGGTGATGACAAAGTTCAGATGCAACTCCTTCATATACATTTAATTGACAATTTTCAAAATAATCCAACTTAAAGTGCATATATAGAAATTATAAATTTTTCCTTCTTTAGAATTATAAATATTTGGTTTTTCTATATAATTAATATATTCAATTTTTGGTAGTTTAATATTTTTTGTGAGCAAATTGAGTCAAGAAGTTACCAAAGTAACCTCTCTTGAATTGGGTAATTCATGAAAAATATTGAATGCTAGTGTTTGTGTATATTCATGCGAGTATTAGTCGGCCCAAAGGAAGATTAATATTTGACCGAATTGCATATACACTTGTAATGATAAACATGTGATAATTATAAGGATTTGCTTTGTTGATGATAAATCAATCCAAAGACTGGTTTGTTGTTGGACGTGTTTTATTGTCAATGTTTGATTATTACAACAAGATACCTCTAGCAGTTAATATTACTGTCCAAAGACTTGATATTGATGTTGCATTGGGTGTCTTGAGATGAGTTAAACCATTATTTGAATATATATTTTATTTATAATTATTTATTTTTATAATGTGAGCATAATTAATTTATTTATCTTGTTCTTAATTTAGCTACAATTGTTTCTGTATCTGTCAATTTAAATTATGTTCCGATCCTCAAAAGTATGTTTCCTATTTTGGTATGTTCTGAAGTCAATTTAGCGTCAGTACCTAGTAACACTTAGTGGTTAGACTCAGGTGCAACTACTAACATCAGTGTTTCTATGAAGGGTTGCTTAAGCTATCGGAAGCCAATTGATTCTGAAAGATGGATATATGTTGGAGATGGCAAATCGGTAGAGGTGGAAGTCATAGGGCATTTAAAATTGTTATTGAGTACTGGTTTTTATTTGGATTTGAAAGACACTTTTGTTGTGCCGTCATTTAGACGGAATTTGGTTTCAGTTTCTTATCTGGACAAATTAGGTTATTTGTGTTCATTTGGAAACAATAAGTTCAGTATGTCTTTTAATTCAGATATTATTGGAACTGATTCACTTTTGCCTTATGATAATCTGTATTTACTTGATAATGTGACCACCTATAATGAAACCCTTAATACAGAATCACGGGTACTAAACGTAAAATTGATGATACTCACTCAGGAGCATTATGGCACAGGCGCTTAGGTCACATCTCTAAAAATAGAGTTGAACGACTTGTGTTAAATGAAATCTTAGAGTCCATTGACTTCACAAATTTTGATGTTTGTGTTGAATGCATTAAGGGCAAACAGACCAAAGCGAAGAGATTAGGTGCATATAGAGCTACAGACGTCTTAGAGTTGATACATACGGACATTTGTGGGCCATTTCCTACACCTTCGTGGAATGGTCAACAATACTTTATATCATTCATAGACGATTACTCACGATATGCATACTTATTCCTTATACATGAAAAGTCACAATCTCTAGACGTGTTCAAAACTTTTAAAGCTGAAGTTGAAAATCAACTCAATAAAAGAATTAAGTCTGTCAGATCTGATCGTGGTGGTAAGTACTATGGCAGATTTGACGGGTCAGGTGAACAGCGTCCATGACCTTTTGCCAGGTACCTAGAGGAGTGTGGAATTGTCCCACAGTATACCATGCCGGGATCACCTAGCATGAATGATGTAGCTGAAAGACGAAATCGAACTCTTAAAGATATGGTCAGGAGTATGATTTGTCATTCCACCTTACCGAGTCACTACGGGGAGAGGCACTAAAGACGGCGGCTTATATTACAGAGCAGTACCAACTAAAGCGGCGACCAAAACACCTTATGAGCTTTGGACTGGACGACGACCTAGTTTGAAGCACTTCCATGTGTGGGGTTGTCCAGCTGAGGCAAGGCCTTATAAGCTAAATGAAAAGAAATTGGACTCACGAACAGTAAGTAGTTATTTTATTGGTTATGCTGAAAGATCCAAGGCATATAAATTTTATGATCCCACATTAAAGACATTTTTTGAGACGGGAACTGCTACGTTCTTTGAGGATATTGAGTTTGAGGGGAAGAATAAAATCAGGAACTTTGTCTTGGAGGAAGAATCGGTAACAATTCCAGAACCGATTCAAACAGTTACTTTTGATAAAGTAAGTTCGGAACCTCCACAAGGCATTGTTAATGAACCCCTTACTCAAGATGATTTGGTTGTTCATGAAGAACAAACTCAAGATCCTCAAGAACCTGTGCATCATGAGCCAATAACTTTGCGGAGATCCACTAGAGAAAGAAGAATTGCTATTTCGGATAATTACATGGTATTTCTTCAGGAACATGAGGAAAATAATGATATGATGGAAGATGACCCAGTTAACTTCCGTCAAGCCATGCAAGGTTCTAACTCTGAAAAGTGGATTGAAGCAATGAAGGAGGAGTATAAGTCCATGCAAGATAACAAGGTTTGGGAAATTGTCCCATTACTAGAAGGTATGAGACTCATTGGTTGCAAGTGGATATTTAAGACCAAACAGGATTCTAAAGGTAATGTGGAAAGGTATAAGGCTCGTCTGGTAGCTAAGGGCTATACCCAAAAGGAAGAGATTGATTTTAAAGAGACTTTCTCTCCAGTTTCATCGAAAGACTCTTTTAGGACAATCATGGCTCTTATAGCACATTATAATTTGGAGCTTCATCAAATGGATGTCAAGACGACGTTTCTTAATGGCAATATTGATGAGACGATTTATATGGTGCAACCAAAAAATTTTGTGCAGAGAGATTCAAAGAGTATGGTTTGCAAACTGACAAAATCCATTTATGGACTAAAATAAGCATATCGTCAATGGTACTATAAATTTCATCAAGTAATTCTCTCATTTGGCTTCGAGATGAATATTGTTGACGATTGTGTATATCACAAGTTTAAGGGGAGTAAGTATATTTTCCTGTATGTTGATGACATTCTACTTGCCACTAATGATATGGGCATATTGCACGAAACCAAGAAATTTTTATCAAAGAATTTCGAAATGAAAGATCTTGGTGATGCGTCTTTTGTATTAGGAATTCAGATACACAGAGATCGATGTCGCAGTATTTTAGGATTATCACAAAGGAGCTATATCGAAAAAATTCTTAAAAGGTTTGGCATGCATGAATGTAAATCCGGGGATACTCCAGTTGCTAAGGGATACAAGCTTAGTCTCAATCAGTGCCTAAAGGGAAATTTGGAAATTGAGGAAATGCAAAAGATTCTCTATGCATCAGTTGTAGGGAGTTTGATGTATGCCCAAGTATGTACGCGTCCAGACATAGCATACATAGTTGGGGTTCTAGGCAGATATTTAAGCAATCCAGGAATGAACCATTGGAAAGCAGCAAAAAGGGTCATGAGATATTTAAAGAGAACAAAAGATTACATGCTCACATACGAGAGGTCGGACCGAGTTGGAGATCGGCTGGGTTTTCGACTCGGACTTTGCGGGATGTCAAGATAGTTTGAAATCCACTTCAGGTTATATTTTCATGTTAGCGAGGTGGTGCGGTTTCTTGGCGCGAGTGTCAAGCAAACCCTTACAGTTTCATCCACTATGGCAGCAGAATTTGTAGCATGCTATGAGGCGTCGAATCACGGAATATGGCTGATAAATTTTGTCACAGGGCTGCAAATTGTGAAAGACATTGAAAGACCACTTAAGTTATATTGTGACAACAAATCAGCTGTATTGTATTCCAACAACAACAGAAGTTCGACTAAGTCAAAACACATCGACATTAAGTTCCTAGTTGTTAAGGAAAGAGTACAAAGTTGACAGATTACCATAGAACATTTAGGGACAAACTCCATGATAGCAGATTCTCTAACTAAAGGACTTCCGCCCAAGGTCTTTCATGAGCATGTTGCTCACATGGGTGTTTTACAGTTTGAGGAATTTGTGGTTTAGTGGGAGTTAGTCATTTTCATATATTTTATGTTCTATGTTTAATTTTATATATGTATACATTGTTTTTGGACATATTTGGTTATCTATAGATATGCGGTTTTCTTGTTCATTCATTACACTTTGTACATTAGGGTTATTATATCGATCTCGATAAGTTAAAGTTTGGACCAGTTGAAAATAGACGTGTACAGATCACCTTCACGTAATTTTTCATGCTACATAATGATGAATCCATGTCATTTGGTTATGTCAGGATGAATAATCATTGTTGGTTTTAGTTGCGATGATGCAATAAAAAGCTGGTTTGGTTCTATATCCTGATATGATTAATGGACAGGACTTTTGGAATATGCTAAAGGAATATAATGACAATCTTGAGCTCATAAAGTCTAACACATTTATAAGGTTGTAAGGACATATATATTTGTGACCAGTGGGAGATTGTTGGCAAAATTTGGGTCATGTATATATGATACATATTTAAATGTGTTAGGGTCATTATTTATTAAGTCAAATAATAAAGTGATCTGACTAAATTAAAAAGGTTTGGCTAAAGGCATATGTCATGAAAATAAAATTGTGTAGAGACCATAGAGAAATGTCTAATTTGATGAGGGGTCAAATTGGAAATACTAAAACTTAAGTAATTAACATAATTTTGGTTATTTTAAGGGGTCATGGTCCCCTTCTGCGAGCACGTAGACAGAACATAGTTACAGTCTCGTTCTTTTCTTTCTATCCCCATCAAGAGAGAAAACCAAGAGGGAAATACAGGTGTTCTTCAGGTGGAAGACCATAAGATCAATAATGCTCTAAAAGGGACATCATCATTATGTTTAATTCAGATATGCTTTCGCATTTAGTTTATAACATGTTTATGAGTATGATATTATTTTATATTTGATCGTTAGATTGAAGATCATATTTAATTATGAGTTTATCTAACAGAAACATACTCTTTGTTACTTTTGGATTAAAGTAATTTTGAAAAATAAGCAATAAGCTTAAGTTTGAAAACACGTTTAAAAGCTTCCAAAGACAAATGCTACCATTTCCCCGTTGTACATTCACCGACAAATACACGTTTCCAAACATAAACTAATACGCCAATTTAATTCATAAAATTATGAATATCAATTATTTTTAACCAAAATATTACCAAATCTGGATAGTCATTTAAATTCTTAAAATTGCAGCAATCAAACACAAAGATAACTTGCATTTAACCATTCTTAACACTGAAATTGTATTTTCTAATTCCAAATATTAAATTAATTAATACTCGTAATTTTAATAACTAATTTGGTGTATTATTCTTTTTCTTCTATTATAATTTCCACTTAAACTCAAGTTGGTAATTGAGCAATTCGTACGAATTGCTAAAAAATATTTTGTAGTTTTATCATTTTACATTTTCATCTTTATTTTAAAATAATATATGAAGAGATACAAAATTAGTTTAAAAACTAATTTTTCACCAAACATTTAAAAACTTATAATGTATAAAAAGTAAAAAATATAAATTAATAATAATTTATTAAATATGTGACAAAATATATAATGACTAAATAAGAGCTTAAATTATCTATAAGATTCTTAATTGCTTTTAAAGATTGTTATTCCATTTGCTTCTTAAAAACCATCCATGGAGATATCCATCTAACTCCAATTATTTAGGCAACGTAGGCATAATACGTATAATAATAGTAATAATAATAATAATAATAATAATAAAGGAATTATAAATATTAAGGTACAGTATTTAGAATTATTTTATAACAAAATATCACTGTTCTTTGTTTTCTAAGATTGTCGAAAATGTTATAATGTTCCAATTATGTTAAAAAGTATACCACGTAGTTTAAAAATGGAGGTCACAAGAAATTTATCAACACACAATTTTTTTCTCAATAAATCGTATTTTCAATATAAATTTGTGATAAAATCAGTTAACGTTAAATGACAATCATTTTATATGTCTTTACTGCTCTTTTAAAGAATCCCATTTATAATTTAATAAATTTAATTGATGACAAAGTATATCTAAAAGAATATATTCAGGGTTAATGTTGGATAAATAAGGACTACAATATACTAGTTTGTCTCATTTTAGAAAAAAAAAAAAAAAAGGTCTGCTTGGATCTTGTTTAGTTCGTCTCATTTTAGAAAAAAAAAAAAAAAAACGTTCTGCTTGGAGCTTGTAGGACTATGTGCTGTAGAAATTTGATGATATTAATGGGGTCTTTCATAGTTGGTATTACAATTTGGACGTGTAATTTTCTGGTCTTAGGCATCATATCTGAAGAAAATCCTTGTCCTTAGTACCACTTGCAAAGAAGCTTCCTCTGCTGCATTGTCTATGGATTGTATGATCTGAACAAATACGTTGTTGTATATGACGTTGCTAAAAACAAAAATATCTAACTTTATAGCAGGTCAATCTTCTTAACCTGTTAGTACAGTTTTATTAATAAGCCAAACCCTTAATATCTTATCTCTTCATTTTTATGGTCAAAACAAGAAAAAAAAAAATTGATGTTATAGTCTCGCAAAGATTAAGATCTGCAAATTTAATACAAGATTAACTATTGTAAATGGTCAAAGAAACCCAGTTTATCTTAGGGAAAAGAAACATTACATTACATGTAAGAGAAAGAAAGGTCTGAAGTCATAATAAGGCCTAAAACTTTTATCTATCTACATAGGCGGTGGTGACGGCCGACAGACTAGCCTACCTGGGCTGGTGAATAGCCCGAGGACTGACTTTGGGCTTTACAAACTTTGGGGCCTTTTCAATGTACCTGGGTGCTTCGGCCCAACCTCCCCCACAGCTTCGCCATTTCAGCACCTCTAAAGACACCATTTCTTTCCTTTCCTTCCCTCCATTCTCGTCTCCATCTTCTTCTGCATCCATCCAAATTACTTAATAAATACATTAACTGAAACATAAATAAAATAGAAATTAACGAAAGAATGGAAATAGATAAGTTACGCAGATCTAGGTCAAAATCAAACTCGAAATCGAATGCGTCGTTTTGGTATTGGGGATCTTGGAAGCACTCGCGGAGCCAGTAGTCGCGGAACCACCCTGATGAGCGAACTAGATCCCACCATTGATCCGAGAAATCCTCCACCGCCCGATAGGCAAGCGGCACGAACATCGGAGCGTCGGGATTCAACCTGGAGGAGGACGAGGAACGGGAAATGACTTCCATTGCAAACAGGATAAGGTTAAAACGAAAGCAGTGAAGAGATATAGGTGTCAAAGGTTTGTGCTTATCCACTCGGTGGTGGGTGGGTATTTATAACGAATGTGGGAGCCAAAACGACATGGACTTGGGTGTTGAGAGCATTACACACGTGACATGCGTGAGCCCGAACTTCGGACACGGTTTTTTGATCAGCCGTTGTTTTTTAGACTTGGATATGGGCCTAGACTTGACCACATGAATGGCTCACTTCATCATGACGGTGCATACCATCCCACATTATCTATGATCATCATTCATACATTGCAGACAAGGTTACACACTTACACGTCATTTCTGTCTCGTCCTCATCTTCTCCTCCAAGTCCTGACACCGTGCTAATTATATAATTAGGCCTCAGATTTAGTTTATTTACTTTGCATTTTAACCCTGTATTTACGGAAGAAATATTATAATGACTTACCCAAATATATATAAACTGAAAGTAAATAATGCATATAGTAAAATTGTTTTAAATAGCTTGTCTAATGGTTTTTCAGTGGGGTAATAATGCTGAAAGTTATATTCTCTTTTTCGTAGGTCATATTCTATTTGATATATATATTATCACTCTCAGACGATTTATAGGAAAGAAAATAAATGGATAAGGTTGGACCTTGATGATTATCACGAAGGGAACATACCCCAAAACGAATGCTTGTGTTGAGTATTTTCTCACTCTTTTGTTAGCCAACTTTATTTATTTTTATATTTTCAATATTTTAACCTTTTATTTGTTATAATTTCACTGTCCATAGACATTTTATATGTTTAACACAGAATAGAAATTGAGTTAGTTCAAAATATAATTAATTCTTATGATTTATCTTTTACAGAGAAGTAAGCGTGTACTACTACATATTCTCTGTATAATGGGACTCTAAGTTGCATATATATACATACAACACAAAGAATATTCAATTTTTATTATTTGATTAATTTTTTTTATATAAGCTTCATTTCCATGTCGCGTCGTGTAAGGGTATAAAAAAGTAATCCTTAAGTAATAATCTAACACAGGTGATGGTGACAAAATAAAGAAATTAAATAAAAAGGTTGATGTGATAATGAATAATAATTGTTGTAGTCAGGAATAGAGTAGCAATAACAGTTATAATAAAAATTTCGGTGATTAGTTGTGGTAACAATGAAGTAATATTAATCATAATATTAACAAGTATGATAATAATAATAATAAAAATAATAAATAAATAGTGAAAGTAGAATAACAACGAAAGTAGAAAAATAACTGCAATTGGTAATGGAAGTCGAAAAATAGGAGCAACTACACTTCACATTGTTGAGAAAAGGTTGGGATCTATTATTAATTAAATCTTGAAGAGGTTAGAACCCAGGAATTGGGAATGCTTAATTTTAGTTGTATTGTATTTTTATCAAATAAATAAGTATGGGATATATTACAATTAAATTTAAAAGATTCTTTTTTTAATTCTTTAGTTTCAAAGACTAATGTAATAACATATTTTGATTTATTTTTTTTAGTTTCAAATGCTAATGTAATAATATTTTATATTTTTAGAGACTTTCTGATGTTAAAATCATATTAATTTTTGGCTTGAAAATCATGTATGATTTGATTTTTCCACAAAATTCAACAGAAATTGTCAAACTCAATTCTAGATTTTATTTTAATAAAAGTTTGATTTGCCCCACCCCTGATACAACTTGGTTTCAAGTACATTTTAATCTTGGAATTTGAAAACTGTAATATTTTTTGTGATATTGAAAAAAAATTAAAAAATCAGTGTACACGTAAAAATTATATATTACATTTATATAAGAAGCAATGACACATGATTATGAGCTAAAAGGGGATAAACTGACCTTTAATTCATCTTAAATAATATGACTACAGAGATTTTTACAATCATAATATTAAAAATTAAAACAGGCAATTAATTTATAATTTCCTTTACAATTATAATCACTCATTCAATAAAATAAAATTTTATATATTGTGATATAGATTTATTTCAGAATTAAACTATGCAATGTTGAGGTAGACTGTTTCTCTAAACTCCAATCTTTTGGTTTCATGGTAGAATGTCTTGTGCTTATTAGGCCAATAAGTCAACCATATCCAACCTCTTACCTCCCACTCCATCGTCTTCCCCACAACACCTTTATCCACTTTCCAACACACACTTTCTCCATATTCATCGCGTGCAAAAATAACCCCTCCTTGCCTCGTGAAAGGACGATAAACACTTGAGTACCTGTCTTTGAACCACGACTTTGGGTTAAACATCGCAACCTTTGAAGGCTTTGACGAGAACACTTCCTTGCCATCGGTGCTATCATGAAGAAACCAGTTCATATTTGCACTGTACCCATGAACAGATTCTTCGAATTTCCACGGCTTTAAGCTCACAGTTGTGGACTCTCCTGCTGATACGCTAATTCCCATGTAAGGGTTTGGTGGATCGAACGAGGCTTCTATTCCTTTCTCCACTCCAAACTCTATTCGTGGGTTCTCCGAGGATTTGCCAACGGATACGCTCAACACTTGGTGTTGAAGTGTGGGGGTAAGTTGCAACGAGATTCTTGAAGGAAAATGTTTTTCAGCTGCACCTGCTCCTCGTTCTCTCGTGAGAGTGTCATCTACCAACTTCAAAACATCGCATCTGTTCACACAAACGTCAATATTGATTAGTTCAACATGATTAAAAATAAGAATGAAAAACTCCAGTACGAAGATGACACGTGATTGGAAACAATATTGTTTATGGATTATATTGCATATATTGAATTTGAGTAGATATCACCTCTTTCAATATTTTATCTTTTTCTATGTTCCCAATAGAAAAATGACACAATTGGAGAGAATAATTTTATTACACAGAAACATCATTTTTCTATTTGAAGGACGAAAAAGGTGGAACATAGAAAGAACATGTGATTTAGATTTCATTTAAGATTAAAGATTGTGGATAAATATTGTGGATTACCTTATGTTGTCAATGTTCACAACGATTTCGACCCATTTCTCTTTGATTATGACTTTGTAGTTGAATTGAAGAACACCTTCAAGTTGTTGATATTTGAGAGAGAATTGAAGTCTCTCATCAGGTGGATGGTTGTTTGCATTCACAACATCCATGTTTATGACGGGGCAGTATAATTGAACTTTCCATAACCCACCTGTTGAGAATGCATAAGAAAATAGAGGTGATGGTGTTCTGAAGGTGTTGTAATCATTGTGATGTGCATCTTGGAGCTCCACAGTCCAATTTGTGATTGCAAGGTTCACGGAACGCATCCACTGCTCTTCTAAGTTGGAACCCAAAAGTTTCATTAGCGACTTCGATGCTTGCCTTGACTGGCACCCTGCCAACTGTGCTTTCAAAGTGACGAGACAACTAGAACGAATATCAGAAGGGGCTTCATATATGCAAACTAGGAACAAGAGAGTAAGGAAAGCAAGGTTGAAAATGTCTTGGAAGTTAGAAACAGAATCAAGTTTGGGGAACTTGATGTAGGAAACATTGTTCCTGTTGGAACCATAACGAAGGATATCTTGTATGAAATTAACAAGGAGATTGGACATGGTTTCACCATCTGCTAACCTCATGGTTTTGGTGTTAGGTTTGAAAGGTTTAGAGGCCCAAAGAGATATAGGGATGCTGAAATCTGCCACAATGGCTAAAGAGAGTCTTGAGGATTGGTGGTGATTTTTTGCTATGATAAGTTTAAGTGAGGGTTGAGATGAGTTTGTGGAACATAAGCTCATAAACATGGAACTTATTTTCCATTCTGAGATTGGTGGACTGTTTTGAATCCATGAAAAAACATCAAGAAATCTGTAATAAGCCATGGGAGAAACCTAGCTAGCTATAACTCTGAAATGGTATTGGCATGTGAGCTTCATATGTTTGTCATGTTATCTATTTAACAGACGAAAAGTAAATTAGCAAAGATTCTTGTTGGGCAAGAAAAGTCAAAAGTAGTAGTGCATGTGATTTGTATAATGATATTAGAATTTGAGAAAAGCAAAGATAGAATATTTTGTACGTAGAAGATAAAGACATTTATTTTGTGTTCCATCGTTTGCATCACATATACCAGTTGTCTAAAAATGCATAATTTTAGCCTTCCTACAGCAAGATGCAGTAAGAAACACAATTTATTTAGGCATGTTCCATTTCACTAACTTTGCTACACAGTTAATTTTACAAATTTAAGCTTTAGAAATTAAACTTAGCAAACATTATAAACCAAGTTTAAATTATATTTCAATTCATCTCAAACCAATTCAGAATGTAATATTTTTTAAATATTTGTGTATTTTAAATTGAAGATGCCAATTCCTTAATTACTGAGAAATATTTGATTGTCCAAGTCAGTATAGTAGCATTACTTTTTTGTGGCTTCAAAAGGTTTGGCTTTTGAATCTGATTGGCAACAAAAACAAAGCTAAGTATGTCGCTGTAAAGGAAATATTCGTTCTTAACTCAATAATTGATGAAAGTTTCTTTCAGCAAATTAAGAGAGAAAAAAATAATATAAAATAAAATAAGGAAGACCAATGATAGATTTATATTTATTACTTGACGTGTGGCACTTAAAGGGCAAGGACATCTTTTGTTTGTAAATAGGGCATTGGATTCTCTAACCACATGCGTGAAAATCTTAGCAAGATAGTGCTTAGTTACCAATATACATAGTTTTTTAGCTGGGAAATTACTTTAATTGGAACTCGGATTCGTGTTCAATGGAGTGTTTGTCAATAATAGTTCAAACTCGTAAGTAGCTCACCTTGTTAACATTTTCCATTTCTGCATGTTTAGTTGTTAATAATGTCCATATAATTGATGGATGACCCTACCAAGGACAAAGATTGATCATTGATGATAATTATTTGTTTGTTTATTTATAGAGAGAGAACAAGTTCTGTAATTTAATTTCAAATTAATTTTACAAATTCATTATTTGTAATAATTTTTTATGAAAATTTTAAAACTATTTTATTTCAACCCCAAAAAGTTGTCATAAGTAAATCACTTTAATAAAGAGGACACGTTGTATTTTTTGTTAATGTTAACCAATATTTCTTAATCTAATATATTGAGTATTAATTAACTTTTTTTAATTATATTACGTTTTTTCTTATTTATATAACTCTATTAAATGTACCCTTCATATAATATATGTATATTCTAGTATATAATATGCTTATTAATACAGTAATTATATTATTTTAATTATATACTATAGCAATTTTTAATTAAGTGTTAATAACAAACTAGTTTTAAATTATAAGTTTAAAGTAATTAAATGATTCTTCCAACCGATATTAATTGGAGTTAAAAAATAGTTAAATTTAAAGAAATCCTCAAATATAGAAAGTTTGCTCAATAAAATTAATAATTCAATAGTATATATAAAAATATTCACATGAAAATACTAATACTAGGTAATATTATATTAATACGAAATCAAATTACCTTAATGCGAGTTGTGTTATACAATAATGTTACTATATATGTAATAACTAAGAGGAAGGAGTTTTACAGCCAAAAGAAACTGAAAGAGTAATATGTAGCGAGAAAAAGTTTTTTGTATAGGAAGAAAAAATTTGCAAGTAAAGAATGTATATAATAAATTATTTTAATAGGGTAAGTTATATTCTTTTTTTTAAGGTTATATTCTGTTTGGTAATGGAATATATGAATGATAAGTTTGACACAGTTTGGAATATTTAACTTAAAATGTTATCACTCTCGATCGGATAAGGTTGGAACTTGATGAATTATCAATTTAGTATAATTAACTCCAAAATGCATGCTTAATGGACATGCAAGTTACTTGAGAAAAGGTAATGGAAAAATATTTTAACAAATCCTTAGTTACTACAAACGTATAATAAAATAACGTGGTGACTGATGATAAAACTCATTCAAGTATGCATTTATCTCTGTAACATAATACGTTAAATAATCGTGTAATAAAATAAATCACATTAATGTTAAAATCTGGATTCTTCTAGACATGCACTGTGTGTTTGGGTGAGAAAGTTGAGATGGTAAGCATATTGTTGACTTATACATTTCTGGTTTTTTGCCTAATCCCCTTGCTTTCAACTTATTCGTATCATGGTAGCAAACCCAATACGTACAATATATCCTACTACTTTAGGGTTATAAATACTTATATCTTCTTCTTCTTTTTAGGAAAGGAAAGGAAAGTGTAGTTGTTGTATACACAAGGAACTACTTTTGTGAAGATACCTGCCTATATCATCTAGCCATTCACAATCTTGACTTTAACAAATGTGAAGCATTCGTTTCATTTCAATCAAATACAAATCACCTACAATCCTATCTAAAACGGAAGAGATACAACTTATCGCATTCCCTAACTTGGTATTTCTTTTCAATTTATTTTTAAACTTAGTTTATGCATGAAATAATGATTAGAGGTAGAGTGATTTTGTGATTTTCGTCCATTTCAATGGAGTTGTGGAAACTATTTGACCAAATACTTGAAGCCTTAAATGTATAAACAAATATTTTAAAATTATACTAATTATTAAATCAATACAAATATGTTAATTTATCCTGGATCCTCAATATATTTAGTAATTAGATCATATAAAATATGAATATTAAGTTTGATGAAATTATATGTTGCCATAAATTAACTATACTATATACTTTTAAATTAAAATGAGTAATGTTGTCTCAGTTATGAACATTATTCTTCAATGATTTGGCATAAGTTTTCCAAAATCTGCATGTCACAACTAACAAACCAAGAAATACAAAATTCTTCATGATATTATCGGGTCAATTCTTGAATCATATTAAGCTTAAACATCAATCATGATTATGGAGAACACAACGAAGAATAAGTTTCAACAGTAAATTGTGAAGATTCTCCAATAATGATTATGAAGAACATATCTAATATCTACATGCTCAGTTAAGTTTCTATATGTTAAAATAACACTCATTCTCTTCGTATATATGTATAAATTATTTTTCGTGAAATAGATGTGAAACATGTTGGGAGAAACATAAATTTTATATATTTTTAAATTAGGAAGCAACAAATTGTATTTATTAAAAATTTTTATAGAATTGAAATACAAGGAGGAAACTTCCTTTATTATTTGAGTAATTTTTAAAGACATTTTTATTAATTATCATCCAGAATTATAAAAATGGATTGTTTATTATGTATAATTTAAAAAAAAACTAAAGGATGATAAAAATAAAATTGTGAACAAATTTGTAACGAATTAAACATATTCTAAATATTATTTTAATTTTTTGTGTGTACAAGTATTTAATATTAATGATTATATGTTTGTTTTAATTTTGGAAATTGTAAATTTACCATTGATAAAATTCAAGTTATCACCAAAGAGTCAAGTGTAATTTAAAAAATAAAAAATGAAACAATTTCACTATAAGTGTCTTATTATTAAATCCATCTGTTATAAAATTAAAAAAAAATATTATTATCATATTTATTAAACTGAAAAATATTGTTGTTTCTTTTCAATTATTGTACAGCGGGGGTTATTTTCGTTTTCACGTTGTTATTGTTATTCGTATTTTTTGAGTAACAGTTTCTGCAAATAGGTTCGGCCCATACCCATCTGGCAATAGGAAGTTTATGTGTAGAGAATTTCCATTACATACAAAGACCTCTCACATTCCAAACCCCAACCAAAGGCCCCAAACCAACCAGCCACAGAGTCTCCATTGCCCCTCGCTCACTCTATCGGTTCTTCCATAGTCCCGCGCGGCAATTGGAGATTCACGCGCCACCATGGCCTCTCCACCGACACTTCCAATTTCTTCCCAATCCAACGCCTCAGCCGGCGCAGCATCGCAGTCTCAGCCTCCGATTGCCACGCCGGCGTTCCGCGCCTTCATTTCTCGCATGTCTTCGTCCCTCCGCCTCACCTTCGCGCAGCGCCGCCCGTGGACGGAGATGGTCGACAGGAGCTCTATGTCCCGACCTGACACCCTTGCCGAAGCCTACTCTCGGATCCGCAAGAACTTCTCCTACTTCCGCGTAAATTACCTAACCCTAATCGCATTCGCACTCGCGGTTTCGCTCTTCACGCATCCGTTCTCGCTCCTCGTCCTCTTCGGCCTCCTTGCGTCCTGGTCATTCCTCTACCTCTTCCGCCCCTCCGATCAGCCTCTCGTCCTCTTCGGACGCACCTTCGCCGATCGCGAAACCTTAGGGATGTTGGTGGTGCTCACCGTGTTCGTAATTTTCCTCACCAGCGTTGGATCGCTGTTGATCTCCGCTCTCATGGTTGGATTGGCGATTGTATGCGCGCACGGCGCGTTTCGCGTTCCAGAGGATCTGTTTCTCGACGATCAGGAGCCTAACAGTACCGGATTCCTCTCGTTCCTCGGCGGTGCCGCTGCTTCTGCTGCCGCTCCGGCCGTCGCACGCGTGTAGACGGCGGGATCTGGAAGGCCGGTGTGTCCGGTGGATTATTCTCAGGTTGGTTCGGCCCTTTTTGTTGTATTATGTTGAATTGAAATTGTCAAGGCAAATATTCTTTGGCTTTTAAGATTCAAAGCGAATTGCTTAGGGTTTAGTTTTTCTGTGACTTTTTTGTTTTACGCCGAGAGATTATTGAGCTATCAAATATCGATTAATGCAGCTTAGTCACTGATTTTGCTTCTGAAGCTGCTTGTCATATATAATAGATTTGTATGTCATTTACTCTTCCATGGTCGTAATGATACGATTCATTTGCAATTGGACTAGAGATTTAGAGAACGAGATTACTGTGAAATGTGTTTCTGTTTGTTTGTGAACTGTAGCTATATATGGAGTTCTTGTACTACTGAAAAAGTTCATCATACTCAAGTTTCTGGAAAACTTCTATGATGTTCAGGGTAATATTTTTCTGAATTTTGGCCAGAAAAAAGAGATTGTCGGTTGTGGGAAGAAATCTGTTTTTTCATTGGAGTATTTTAGATGTTTTTGAGTGGTTTCCTTGTCTAATTTTTTATATATCACTTTAAAAACAATTATTTTCATCCATTGTTATCTTCAAATTTAAAGATATCTTAACTATTATTTTTAAATTACAATCTTATAATTATAAATGAGATAAATAATATATCAAAATATTATTGTTTTTAAATCTGAGTGTGACAACTTTAAATGACAAGAAACGAAAAATGTATTTTTTTTATGTTGACTGATTCAGTGTTCTGGGAATGGTCAGCTTGGATTAATTTTTTTCAGATGTTCAGCGGGACAAAATTCAAGTTTTTCTAAGTTGAAAGAACCCGTGTCTTGTAAGTCATATTATATATATATATATATATATATATATATATATATATATATATATATATATATATATATATATATATATATTTTTTTTTTTTTTTTTTTTTCTTCATTAAATTTTGTAGCATGCTAAAAGAAATGTAAGTTGACTGGTAACCGGAAAATAGCTGTTGATGTTATTGGGAGTTTAGAGCACTTAAAAAATTTACACGTCTTATTATATCATCTCACTTTTAAACATTTCGTTATGTTTTTATAACTTTTGATCCAAAGATAAATAAAGTCTTATTAAAATCCACAATTTTATAATTTGTTGTCTGTTCTTTAATTTTTATATTAAAAAAATAATTTAATTGTGTTTCTGAATATAATGGTGGAGTGGAGGATATTGAAATATTGTATTTTATGATTAAAATTCAAAGTTTTATGTAAGATCTAATTTATAATTTAAACTCTAAGAACTTTTCATGCTACATCCGCTTCATTCAATAGAAGTGATTTATATAAGATCTTAGTTTTGAGTTTAAGATCCTTTCATGTGCATTATTGGAGATACTCTTGTGGTCAAATAATATAAGATGGTTAAAAAATATTGATGTAGAAGATAAGATTTTTAACAGGTATGATGTAGAAGGTGAGATGGTTAACGAGCTTGGAGGTTTTGCAGTACTCTCGTAGGATCACGAGAATCTTTTCTAGTCCTCTTAAACACCTTTTTTTTTATTTTGGGGTGCCCTATGGTGGATTGAGGAGAGTAATATGAAAGAAATAGGAAGAAGAAAAAATAAACAATAAAGAATGAATAAATGATAATGATTTTTTTTTCCATATCAGGGGATTGTGATTTTGTTTTGAGTGCGATTGTACCCAGTTGCGGGTTATTTTCAGATTCTACAATCTTAGATTTCGAAGTCCGAGTGTTTGGCTTGTTATTGGGGGTCAGAATGTTTTCAGATTATATTATTGGTTTATAAATTATATTTCTTCATTACTTAGTAATAATCAACCCCTAATTATTATGAAGCCTTTCAAGATATATAGCAAGGATAATTGTGGAGCAGTTTTTATTTAGAGTCTTTCGTATCATTTGGTTTTGCGGGGCCATACAGAGACAGACACTATTGAAATGAGATATGTAGGATGTATTCATCTTTATTTATAAAACAGATTAAGTTTACCAGATACTACCATTCAAATCAATAATTTATATAATCTTAATGTTTTACTTTATATACCTCATTTAAAAAACTTTGGTAAATTTTTCTAGTATTTTGAACTGGAGAACAATGGATTCAATTTTATTACTTGCAAATGAATTTTAACCCAAATAATGATTTGACTTCAAAATAGTTTCAGAAAGCATGGATAACAGCAAACATGGGAGTGAGCTTCAAATAGTAGCAAGTAAGATGAAATATTTGTCAACTAATGATTTTTTTTTTTCCTTTTTTTTCTGGTGCGAGTTAGAGAATCAATCATAATTAGCATTAAAATTACAGAGTATAGATCACAGGCTTGCAGCAGGGGTGTATGGAAGGAATGAAATGTCTGATGGTTTAATGTATCATGCATCTCATTTTAAAATTTGATCTGATAGGATATATTTTTTTACCAAGGACTTAATTTATTACTCACTTCCATTTATTTTATTTATAGTGTAATACATATATTTCAATAAAATTGTTCATTACATCAATTTTTATAGTAAAGCAAAATGTATTTTATGAAAATATCTGTATTCCATAGATGTATTGAAGAAAATGTGAATAATCCTTTTCTGGACATTTTAAAGTAGTAGTTTAAAACAGAAATATTCTAAAAGTGACAGACAAAATGAGTAAGAGTCAAATGCATCTCCAACTGGTAGCTTAATTATGGCCTATGAAGAATGGGCTACAAGTTTGCAATTGGACTTTCATGTCATCGTTTTACAAACATTCAACGTTTTGGCGGTTCAAAACATCCCCTACTTTTTTCCCTGTTTGCGACCGAGGTGGCTTTAGTTCATATCCAAAGGGATCAGTTAAGATGTTGTTGTATTTGCTTTGCGACCCAGTTGATTACGCACACCATTCATTAACTAACCTTAAATAATTATTCTGCACTGGCCAGGGACCATGCTGATGTTATAAATGAAAAATAAAAAACAGATTAATAAATGTCACAAAAATGAAAACCTGGGGAGGGTAAATATCCCTGTCAAGTTCTGGGATGATGAAACCCTCTCATTTTCTATGTCAATGGATGTCTCCATCTTCCAAGAAAAGAAGACAGTATCCTAAACCTTAGTATTTTTTACTTAAATAGAACCTTAATATTTTATTGTTCACGTTACCAACTCAATGGGTAAAAGTGACTAACAAATAATAAAAAAATGTAAAATATATTAAGTAAAAAGCTATCAATCATACCTCACGTAATCTTAGCACACTTATAAAATAAATATATCAAAATTTATATTTTAAGAAAAATAAAAATACACCAAACAATAAAAAAATCTGAATCATTGCAACTTCAATATTTATCTGAGAAAATATTTAATTGAATTTTTATTTCAAAATATACAATTTATTGACAAATAAATAAATAAATATAGTTATATTAATATAATAATTAATATTATGAGTAAATTGTGAGAGAAAAAGTATTAATCTTTCATTTAAAGTTGATTCACATGCATTTAATATCTTTTATATTGTCAGATGTTTTTTTTAAGTCAGACTTCAAAAGGAAACCAAATTTAAATTATTTGAGGACTACTCTAATATATTGAGTCATTTATAATTTATTGCATCCAATGAATTTTACCCCCAAGATAAAAAGGATGGTAAAAAAATTGTTAACACAAAATTATCTAAGTCTTGATAATTGGTTACAACTCAACTAAAAATATTTAATATTAGAAGTCCAGCATAAAAAAATATAAACAATAAAAACTAATAACAGGTCTATGTTAACAAGGAAAACTATGTTTTTCAAACATCTGTTTTCACCTTGGTTCTCAGACTCTCAAAATAAAAATGAAAAAAGAAACTTTTTATTATTCATCTTTGAGTAGATTATTATATTTATATAAAATGATTTTCAGAAAAGAAAAAAAATAAAAACAAATGCAGTAATCTTTTAGAAAACATGCAAGGGGTGAAGAAAAAGTAGTTGTTCTTGCAGTTGACACGTGACATTCACGGGAAGACAGACTTCTATGATGCTTGATACTGTTATAGAATCAAATCGTATCATTTAAAGCCTGCAAACTGCAATTTTCATGTGTTATCATGAAATTACAATTTTTTTGTTATCAGACCAATTAATTAAGGAACTTATAGCTGACAGTGAAAGAAGTCATAGGTTATTCATAAGAATAGGAAGACAGAAGCTTCTTCAGAATTAGCATCTAAGTGAGGGACCACCAATATTTTCTGTACAGAAAAGAAACAGTACTCAAGACTTTAATTTTCTCATTTGATTAACATTCGTTTACATAAAACTGTATAAATAAAATAAACAGATAGAATGCACTCATGCAGTTGTTACTCACTACAGTGCTTACATCGAAGTTTTGACTAGCTCTCAGGCCACATTTATTGATCTATTCAATGTCTTTTGGCATATCAATTTCTTGACCAATTTATTTGTTTTGAATATCAAAGAGGGGTGTCAAATTTCCAGAGCAATAGTTTTGGATAACACAATGGCCACTACAGCCAAGAAGTACTTCTTCAAAGTCTTCTTTCCAGAGAAACACACTGAAAAAATAGTATGTTTTCTTAATTATACTTTCTGCAACCTGGACTAATTACATGTACATATCCTCATATGTTCATGTTGTACATTTTATGTTACATCAACTTTACTGCGATATAGATAAACTTTACTTAGAATAATGTTGTACATACTACCATGCATTTACCAAAGTATTTATCTGTAGTAACTTATGCAATGGTTGATCATCTCATTGTATTTTTCCTCAAATTTCAGGTTATCCCTAGTTCTTTTGTGAAGTCTACACGCTTAGGAAGAAGGAGGATCCCCGAGGATGTGATCCTCAGAAATGTTAGTGGGAGAGTTTGGTGTGTCAAAACTCGTCTCATTGGACACAAAATCTACTTTCAAGAGGGTTGGAAGGTTTTCCAAGAAGAAAACTGTATAGGAAAAGAAGATTTTCTACTTTTTAAGCATGATGGGACCAATGTATTCAAGGTGGTAATTCTTGAACAATCATCACGGTGTGAAAGGAACGAAGTTGAAGAAAATGAGGTGATAGATATCACCGAAGAGGAAGAGCGTGAACAAACTGAGGACGAGGATGAGTGTTTTGACGATGAAAACAGCTATGATAATTGTACACAAATGGAAGAAGAGAGTGAAAAAGAACACATGAGGAGTCAAAGTAATCGTAGTAGAGCCAGCAACAGTAAGTTGAACTTTGTACTTAAAAAAAATGGTTAATTTTATGTTGACAACGTTTTTTTTTTCCTGCAATTTCTTCTGAGTGTATGAATCAGCAACAAGTTCCACCCCCAAAGGTCCTCATCTTGAAGACTATGAATTTGATCCACAAATGTACATTCAGCCGGAAAATCCATACTTTGAAGCAAAACTGTATAAAAATAGACCCAACGAATTGGTTAGAATTCTTGTATATCTCGTCTTCTCCCTTACTGGTTTTTTGACAATAAAGAACTGTTGTTAAACTAATACAAGTTCTTTTACTTAGTCTTTGTTCCCACCTTCTACTTCTCACTTTGCTACTTGAATAACTTATAATCTCTATATTATTCAGTCCATGTTGAAAATAAAAAATGTTAATTCAATGGTTTCTTTTTTTATTTTTTGCCACTCTTTAATCCTCCTTGTTGCAATTTCACTTCTCATAGCTCACAACTATTACATGTTCTTGCTTTCCACTTCATTCCTCCTTATTGCAGCATGTTCCAGCAAATGTATTTAAAGATTTATCCCTTACTTTTCCACAAGAGATCACCCTTTCACGTTGTCTATGCTTCCAAAGCGAGGTATAATTTTAGTAGTAGTTTATCATTTGGACAACAATTGGTGAGATTTGTATGTATTGATTTTTTTCTCTTGAGAATTTGAAACTACAGTTGTGTACTTTTTTTGTTGGTGCAGGATATTCAAAGCAATGAATTACGACAAAATCATTTCGGCTTGTCACAACAGACACCAATGTATTCGGAAGTAACAAAGGTGTCTGAGTGGCAAGATGGTCGAGTATGCCTTAAAGGGTGGGCAAACTTTTGTACAAAGAACAAGATCAAAGAAAATGATGCATGCATCTGTGAAATTGTATCAGGGGAAGACAGAATAGTAAGAAAATTTTGGGTGCACGTGCTTGGTGCTACGAACGGATGAACACACCAAGAAAAAGTATCTACCAGTGAATTAGAATTTGAATTTGCTTCTTGTAAAAATTTTTGTGAACTAATGTTTATAATTATCTCATATGGAATGGTTTCTGTTATTTTCTCATGACATGATAACTATATTTATCTGTATTTCATTGCACAACCATTTAGCTTACTCTATCTTACTGCTTAACCATTTTTCTTATTCTATTGATTAGATTGGAATTAATTTGGAATTCTCTTTGTGGGCTTAACTTCCTCTTGTTTTCGTTGCTACTAGGTGGACAAATATGAATTTGATGTACTATTTGCAAGTTGTGGAGGCTAATGGTTAAATTTAGAAACTGACAATAGTTTTTTGTCATTAAATTATCTGATGATAACTGTGTCCTCCATGTGCCTCTGAAGTTTCATCACTAAATTATCTAATAATTGGTTACAACTTACAATGGCAACTCAATAAAAAATTTTGATGCTAGAAGTCCAACATAGAAAATTGTGAACCAAGAACTGATATGTTTATGTTAACAAGGAAAACTGTGTCCTCAACTTTTAATGTTTCCAAACATGTGTTTTCACCTTCTTCATAATCTCTAAATAAAAGTTCCAAAAAGAAAAATTCTGCCTTTCAGAAATTGATCCCCACCACATCTGGTACCCAAGTAATCAAATTAATGAAATTGCCGTTTTAAAACCTGGCCTATCAGTACAACTATCTTCAATATTCTATTCCACCTTCACTATGAATATGATCTAATGTATTCCATGTAAACAACAATGGCAATCTAAAAGGCACTCCAAGGATCAAAATCCACAACCTTTAACTCTTTCATCTTTGTAATATAAACATCAAATGTGTAATTTTGTGACTCAAATTTAGTCTTCACATACATAATTGTTGAAAAATGCCTGACAACTGAGAATCTCTTCCTCATCCAGGTTATGAATTCTATTGGGTAATGCATATATCTTCATTTTAATTGCTCAACCTGAATGTTGCAGTTTTGAATTTCAAATATATTAGATAGTTGTATTGTAACAGTCCTATCTTCATATCTGAATGTTGCAGTTTCAAATTTCAAATGTCAGACATTAAACATCAGATTAATGGAAAAAGACTCTCCTTATGTGAACATTCTGCAGCTATCATGAAATACTATTCATTCTTCTTCTTCATTACACATTTAAGACAGAAACAGGAAACAGGAAGGGCCCCGATTCCTCAAGAAGGTACTGAATAAATGATTCAGGAAGTTCATAAATTAAGGGTCTTGATGGACAAATTTGAACTTTGGATACCATTCTTGAATGTGGCATATATTCACCTATTCCTGTTTCATGACTCTGTAACATTTGTTTTCTACATCAACCTGGTGAAGTTCCTTTTCTTCTACTATCTGGCATTCACTAACCAATATACAAATTAGAGATTAAATTTTGAAACCTAGTAGCAATATATAGGCCATCACCAGCACACTAAAATTAAAAGAATTTTGCCCACTTCTTAAATAGCCAGTATATAAGCACAACAATGCATGCCAATGTGCTATAACAACAAATTAGGGTGTGAAAACTAACACTCGATAACCAATTTGACAATTAATGACTCATATTTCAAATGGGTAAAAAATTATACATGAGCTTAATATCCCGTTAAAGTTTCAACCCACTTCAATGCATGCTAAACAAATTGAGAAAAATAATTTAATTTATTTTAGATTATAATTTTTTTCTAATATGATTCTTTTACATATTTTTGCTCAAACCATTTTAACACTTATGCATCGAACAATGACAATAAAATGTACTCTATATTAGGAAATGCTAATAAATATTAGAGTTAAAAGTGGAGATGAAAGAATATATTTTCGTAATTATTTTATTATTGTTTTAAATATACCACTCTTTATTAAATATAAATAACATATAATTAAATTTTACAAAATTAATTTAATAAAATCTGATTTATACTCGCTTATGTATAATATTATCGCATTTTTATTCTATATGAGTTTTATTATACTAACTCTCAGGGAGTTTTTTATCACATCCTTAGAGAAATTTTATCTCTAATGTTATTAATGTTTTACTAATCTCTTTAGGTTTTAACTTAATTCCATCTTACGGGTAACTGAAGCCCAAAACGTGATTGGGCTTCTAAGGCGCTTCTTCTATGTTTTTTGATTTGTTAATACATCTAATTTAATCCCAAACGATTTCAGGGTATTTCTTTTTGCACCTGTAGCACTCTTAAGTAATATTTTATTTTGAAATTCGTAATTAGAAATGCAATTTGATAGGACGTGGAGAATTGGTGGTTGAAATTCTTGTTTTTCCCTCACCAAAATGCAGGGGATTCACGTTGAACATGAAAGTAGCATAAATGAATCGGTGAGAGGGAGGCATTACTCCGGTGAAGTGTGAGGGGTAACATGGTCATTAGGCATGATTTTGTAATTTTGCGGTCCGGAAGTGAATAATGCAGGAAAGGAATGGGCCTACAGTATAAGTGGAGAAGAAGAAATAGCCGTTGGGACTTAGGGGAGCGGACAGACAACAAAGTAAGAATTGAAGAAAACAACAAATAAATGTCCATTGTTGTAAGGAAAAACTAGCCGTTTGTCTTTGCAAGAAAACTACTAAGAAGGAAGGAAAGTGAGAGAGAGAGGGTCGTATACATCTACTGTACCCACCACACCCACCTGACAATTGTCTTCAGTTTTTTGCTCTCTCTTCCCAACACAAGATTCCTCACCCCGCGCGCCCCACTCACACACAATCTATCTTAAGACCATCATCATCACGTGCCCCTCCTTCACTTCTCGCTCCTCCCATTCCTACAAAATCCTCATCCAACTCTTGATCTTCCTGTTTCATTTTTTCTATGCCCTCACTCACTCACTCTCTTCTCTCTAACTACAGTGACAGTGTTTGTCTTATGGACACTGCTAGTAAGACCCAGACTCTGTGTCACCAAGTAATCCATCAAAGTCTCCTATTCTTTCTTCTTTAGTTCACTTCTTTCTTGCTTCATTCATTGTCCTACTATTTTTCATTTTGTTGGAATGGAGAGCAAGAACCTCACCTCTAAATGTTTTTACCATAAACATTTTCAAAATGGGGTGAGGAATGCAGCACATAATCATTTTTTCCGCTTGTTTTTCTGTTTGTGGTTTATATTGGTGCCAGTGTTTGGTGAAGAGCGTTGGGATGGAGTTGTTGTGACACAGTCAAACTTCCTAGCACTTCAGGCATTCAAGCAAGAGTTGGTTGATCCCAAAGGCTTCTTGAAAAGCTGGAATGACAGTGGCTATGGAGCTTGTTCTGGAGGTTGGGTTGGTATCAAGTGTGCCCAGGGACAGGTTATTGTGATCCAGCTTCCATGGAAGGGGTTGCGGGGGCATATCACCGAGAGGATTGGCCAACTTCAGGGGCTAAGAAAGCTTAGTCTCCACGATAACCAAATTGGCGGTTCTATCCCTTCAGCACTGGGACTTCTTCTCAATCTAAGAGGGGTTCAACTCTTCAACAATAGGTTCACAGGGTCCATCCCTCCTTCATTAGGTTCCTGTCCTTTGCTTCAGTCTTTAGACCTCAGTAACAATTTGCTCGGTGGAACAATCCCAATGAGCCTTGGAAATGCCACTAAGCTTTATTGGCTTAACTTGAGCTATAATTCCTTCTCTGGCCCCGTACCAACTAGCCTAACTCGCTTAACTTCTCTCACCTACTTATCTCTTCAACACAATAATCTTTCAGGATCTATTCCAAACTCATGGGGTGGTAGCATGAGGAATCACTTCTTTCGGCTCCAAAATCTGATCCTAGATCATAACTTCTTGAGTGGAAGCATTCCTGCTTCTTTGGGCAACTTAAGTGAGCTCACAGAGATTTCTCTTAGTCATAACCAGCTTAGAGGAGCTATCCCAAATGAAATAGGAAGCCTTCCTAGACTTAATACAGTCGATTTTTCTAGTAATGCCTTGAATGGAAGCTTGCCTGCCACTCTCTCTAATGTATCCGCACTCACTCTCTTGAATGTAGAGAACAACCACCTTGGCAATCAAATCCCCGAAGCTTTAGGAAGATTGCACAATCTCTCTGTTCTAGTTCTGAGCAGAAACCAATTTAGTGGCCCCATTCCTCAAAGTATTGGAAACATTTCAAACCTTACACAGCTTGATTTGTCACTGAATAATCTCAGTGGAGAAATTCCAGCCTCCTTGGACGATCTGCGTAGTCTTAATTTCTTCAATGTTTCTCATAACAACCTCTCTGGTCCAGTTCCAACCCTACTTGCCCAAAAATTTAATTCGAGCTCATTTGTGGGAAATATTCAACTATGTGGGTATAGCCCTTCTACCCCATGTCCCTCGTCAGCTCCTTTTGGTTCACCTCCAAAAATATCAGAAGACCACCAGCACAAGAAACTAGGCACCAAAGACATAATTCTCATAGTAGCAGGAGTGCTCCTTGTAGTCCTGGTAACACTTTGCTGCATTCTGCTATTCTGCCTGATCAGAAAAAGAACAGCATCAAATGCAGAGGGTGGCCAGGCCACAGGGAGAGCATCTGCTGCCAGGACAGAAAAAGGAGTCCCTCCTGTCGCAGGTGAAGCTGAAGCGGGAGGTGGCGAGGCTGGAGGTAAACTAGTCCATTTTGACGGACCATTGGCTTTTACAGCTGATGACCTCTTGTGTGCAACGGCGGAGATAATGGGAAAGAGTACTTATGGAACTGTATACAAGGCTACATTAGAGGATGGAAGTCAAGCTGCAGTCAAACGATTGAGAGAAAAGATCACGAAAGGTCAAAGAGAATTCGAATCTGAAGTTAGTGTTATAGGAAGAATTCGACACCCAAATCTTTTGGCATTGAGAGCCTATTACTTGGGACCCAAAGGAGAAAAGCTTCTAGTATTTGATTACATGCCCAATGGAAGTCTTGCTTCTTTCCTACATGGTAAGTTTGTTTTGATAATGTCAATTTAATTTCTTAACACTAATGTTTGACAGTTTTCAAACTTTGTGCAGCTCGTGGGCCCGAAACAACCATTGATTGGCCAACAAGGATGAGAATAGCGCAGGGAATGGCTCGTGGTTTGTTATACCTTCATTCCAATGAGAACATTATACATGGGAACCTTACGTCCAGTAATGTGCTGCTGGATGAATATACGAATGCTAAAATAGCTGATTTTGGTCTTTCTCGGTTGATGACAACTGCTGCTAATTCTAACGTAATTGCCACCGCTGGAGCATTGGGATACCGAGCACCTGAGCTCTCTAAGCTTAAAAAAGCCAACACAAAAACTGATGTATACAGTCTTGGTGTCATCTTGTTAGAACTCCTAACGGGGAAGCCACCTGGTGAGGCTTTGAATGGCGTGGATTTACCTCAGTGGGTTGCCTCCATTGTCAAAGAGGAGTGGACAAATGAAGTTTTCGATGTAGAGTTGATGAGAGATGCTTCAACATATGGCGACGAGATGCTGAACACGTTGAAGCTTGTTTTGCATTGTGTTGATCCTTCTCCATCAGCACGACCAGAAATCCAGCAAGTCCTTCAGCAGCTTGAAGAGATTAGACCGGAGATATCCGCCAGTTCGGGCGACGATGGAGCCATCCCTTCGGCCAGTGAATGAATGTTGGGTGTTATGTGGACAATTTTATTTCTCTTTAGGACTAACGTAGTAGTAGAGTAGGTAGTCTATTATTCTTTCATTCTTACATTAATCTTTTGCCTGTTTGGAGTGTTAGTGTCTGTACATATAGTACTGTGCTTAATGTCAACAGGTGTTCTCTTTAACACTTCATTAGTCATTTTAATAGAAATGAGTTCCTGTTCTCCTCCTCCCTGAGCTAATTGAGTTTAAATATAACAGGTTAACAACCAAATATCTTCTGAGTTTAACGTAACACAGTTTATACATTTATAACATGAAAATTAAATAATGCATATATAATTATAGGAAAAACTTAAATTAAAAACGAAAGAAAAGTAAAAAGAAGTAAACCTCACTTCCACTTTCGCTCCGATCAAACATAATAAACCATCGCTATCGGTATTCTCTTCCACTTACATTCCGAAAGTACAGATGATTAAATTAATGAAACCGAAATGTAGAATTACTACATAAAAAAGGACACCAAGAAATGTACGATTGCGTTCACAAAAAGAAAAAACAAAAAAAACTAGGCATTAATAACAAGAAATGTACAACTCTCAGTGCATATACAACATCTCTAGGGCTAAAACTAAAAGTTCTTCTAAAGTAAACATAAGATTAAATTAATGAAACCAAAATCCAGAATAACTGCATAAAGAGGGCGAAAGCAGAATTTACAGCCATGTGCATTTTAGCTGCTGTCACTTGAGTAAGCAGCTGTTTCTTCCGCAAGCTTCTGCCACACAGCTCCCATCTTCTCTGCATAGCCTGCCTGTAAAATGGAAGAAGTAGATTAGTTACTTCCCAGAAACACAACATAAACACCATTTAAATGGAATAGTTTAAAGAACCAGAACATAATTGAACTTTACCTGATTGACAACAAACCCTCGCAGCATGCTTTGGAAGTCGCTATTCCTTTCTTGGTCAATTCTTTCAAGCTCGCTCCTATTATTTTCCTGCAAACATTCCACGATCATAAGTGATATTTTGACACAATAATCCACAATAAAGACTTCCCAGCAATATTTCATAAGCTTTTTAATTGATTTGTTTGTTTTTTTCTTAATAGAAATAAAATTTTGAACTACATATGAAGAACACAAACGGAAATCATATTAATCTGGAGAACAGACAAAGCAAAGATACAATGGAACAACTTACTCAGAGCTGAAAACCTATAATCTAATTTGACGAAAGATAGACCATTCCACAAATATGGAACTCCAAAAAAAAAGGTGAAAATTTTCCTCCCCGTGGATTCCATAGTCCTCTCATTCGATGTGACTCATAAATTTTCCCTTTGTTCCATTGAAGCCAAAATTTTTGGTGATTGCAGACAACAAAGAAGCAGATTACAATATCTACCATAAGAGAGAATAACAGATGAACTATAGTATTTTGGGGCAGGTAAATCATGCCATTCAGAATCTACTGTTCTATACAGCCAAAAGGCTTGATCAGCCAAATTTTCGTTTTTCATGGATGCTTCTACAAACGGTTTCTCCAAAACAAAAGATCAAATGAAGCAAACATTATAAGAATTTTACTATCAATAAAATTTTAATAATGAAACCAATTTATAGATTTTACTTTTGATTAATTAGCTGGGCCGTTCAATCGGAAAACCTAGTGAATTGTTTATCTAGTGTTAAGTTTGTTTAACCAATAAAGCAGAAGCTGGAGGAATCGGTATAAAGAACTAGAGGGAGAAAACAGATGAACAGGTCAAACTTGCAAATCATATGGTATTTAGTTTGAACTGGTTTTTACTTTTAAAGCTGTTTATCTCAATCAAATAATGGTTTTTAATACAAGCTATAAATTAAAGACCCATCATGTATACTTCATATATGCTTCAATGATTTATACTCATTATCTGATGCTACATGACTGATTTTTCATCCGATTTCTAATGTAAGGCTTTGAAGCCCTAGGCAACATATTGATTAACTCTGAAGCTATAACATACTATGTATGTTTGAATGGTCTACTTATTGCCCAATGTTGGATTTTGATGCACTAAACAACATAACAATGGTTATCCTTTCTTTGCTTCACTACTACAATGATACAAGTCTGATCTAAAAAAACATTGGATTTCCATATTAAGATGGCAACAGATAAAGAAATCAAATTTGAATGTTTTACCAAATCTGTTCTTGATTGAAATTTTTAATTGAAGCAGTCCTCGATGAAACATTTTTAAGTGCATCAAAGTATGGTTACTGAAACTATTATAGTCTATTTTCTTTCATTCTGACACTTATCTACAAATTTGCTTGCATTAGATGTATCTACAAAATCAAGTGAAAATATATTTGTAGCAGGTCAAATCTATCATCAATGCAAAGTGAATGACTAATTTTGATTTATGATCATTTATGATAACTTATATCCTGTTAATTTCCACAGTGGATCTGAGGGTGTTTAAATTTAGTGACTAGAACAAACTCATTGACAAAGTTATATTGCGTCAAATCTTCTCCTACATTAATATAATTGCCCACATGAGATGAAAGCAAATAAGACAATATGCTTTAATACATGACAAATATGGACAAGGCATGCAATGTAGCATGCCAAAGAAAATTTGGAAAAGTCAGTTCTGAAAGTGAAAATGAGTTAATATGTGGGGGGGATAATAGCTCAGAGTTTCAAGAGTACAGCTAAGTCAGAGTTACACATGCTAAAGAAGGGAGAGAACAACCCCATAAAATGTTGTAAAATGTTACCTTGATTCGTTCATACTCTCTATCTGCACAAATTTTAGCATTCTCAGTAACTCTAATGGCTTCTTTTAACTCTTCAATTTTCCGCATCCTAGACTTGTCTCCACCAAATATTTTGGATGAAGCAACCTCAAGCTTTTCCACCCGTGAATGTAAAGAAGCTAGTTCTGATGAGAGTGTTTGAACAGTCAACAATGCACTTGATCTGTCAGAAAAAGCATTGTTGACAGCTAGCATTGTCCCAAGGTATTCATGTAGTTTATCCTGCAAACATAAAGAAGATATTACTCATCAACAACAGAAATGAGTTTGGGATTATATCAGGGGGTTAAAGCATCTAACATCAAGATAGTTTCTAGTTTTCCACTAATGATTTTTAAACAAGACAATAGTTTCTATCATAAGTAAATAGCATATTTGTACTTGCCAAATGTTTGATTGTTTGTGTATTCAGCTCTCTATATAACCTGCTTGCTTTAACAGCTGCAGTTGCCACATTTCTCATGTCAGCAGCTCGCACTCTCTGAGACTCAAATATGGCTTCTTCTGTCTCAAATTTAGTTAGCTTTACAAAAGCCAGCCCTAGTTCACCCACTGTTTCACCCATGTCTTGCTGAAACTTGACAAGGGATTCAGCCTGTAGGTCAATGACAGACAAAATCAAACTCAGAGATCAAAGAAGTGAAAACAACACTGTTTACATTCAGTTCCACAAAACAAAAAATGGACATAGTAACTCAATTTCACAAAGGAACATAATTTACACAAAATCAAAATCCAATAATCATAGACACTATAAGAGGAATGTTTTCAATTCGACCAACTAACAATAAATATTTTAAAGCTATTTCAAGAAGTAATTACATGCTATTGTTTCCGCCCAAATAACCTAATCCAAAACATGCATTGCAAGTGTGTTTGGAAGTGCTTTAATGGAACATCTTTAAACATATCTTATAGTGTCTAAGCAGGTATTTGCCTATTTGGACAAGCTGATAACCTCAAAAGCAACTTACGCTTTCTTATAAACTCTTTAATTTCCTTCAATAATTTCACTACTCACTAAAGCTTATCAATGTAAGCTTATTGAGTGAAATTATTGAACAACCACTTAGTCAAGCTCGACGGTAGGCCAAATTCAACCAACAAACATGGAAGACCAAAGCTTATTAAAAACGTAAGAAGTACATAGTTGGTTAATCTTATATAATGAACTTATTGAAGAAGCACTTAGTTAAGCACATACCCAAATGCACTACAGACAACTAATAAACATGGAAACCAAAAGCTTATAATGAAATTACTTAATAAGCACAAGTAAAGCTCATTACCCAAATGCACTTTGTTAACCTTATATACAATGAACTTATCGAACAAGCACTTAGTTAAGCTGATTGCCTAAATGTACCGTACTAACAAACAAGGAAGCTTATAATGAACCAATTCCTATTAAGCACTCAGTTATGTTCAATATACCTAAATGCACTTAGTGAAGATTATTGAATGAACTTAAACGAAATAAGAACATAGTTAAGCTCATTACACAAAAAATCCACCGTAGCGTGAACTAACAACCATTAAAGCCAAAACCAGAGAAACACAAAACCTGCTGAGAGACATTGCTAAGATTGTGCTCAAAGTCCACCAACTTATCCTTCCTCTCCATAAACTCTTTATCCTCCTCCACAACCAAGGGCTTGCTCCCACCCCAATCATTGGTAACAGACTGCTTCAACTCCTTGAAAATCCTGAGCAAGTCCCTCCCGCCCTTGGCCGGCTGAACCACCTCACCCACCTCCGCCTCTCCCCCTAACAGCTGCCTTGGTAGCCTCACGGCGCCGTCGAGCATCCGGGATGCGACATCGGTGGTCCTCGCCAGAGGCAGCCGCCCCTTCGCCTCCAGAAACACCCTCAGCTCCTCGCTCCGTCCGATCACCGGGTGCGCCGCCAGCCTCCTGAGGTACTTCTCCAGTGCCACGCGCCGCTGCTCCACGAACTCCTGCTTCTGCATCACCTGGCTCTCCACCGTGCTCTTGTCCGGCCTCACCGGGATGAAGAGCCCGCGGTATGCCTCCGACAGCCGATCGGCGAGCGTCACGACGTCTCGGAACCTCCGCCTGACGGCAAATTCGGTGCCAGCGCCGCCGAATTCTGGGAGATTGGTGCGCGTGGTGATGAGGTAGGTGTAGAAGGTAGCGGCGCCGGGGACGAGGGAGGTCGCGATGTCCTGCTCCTTCTGAGGATCGGTGACGACGATGTGTAGGTAGTCATCGGAGCCGGATCGCGCGGGGGTTTCGTCGATGGCTTGGTCGTGGCCGTTGGAATCGAAGGAGGTGAATATCGCGTCAGCGTAGGAGGGAGGGTCAAGGAACGAATTGAAAGGGGAATTAGGGCTTTGCGGTGGCGTAGGGCGGTGGTGTTGGCGGTGGACGGAGTCGTTGCCATCGTCGTCGAGGATCAGCGACTCCATTACTTCGTCGTCTTGCGAAGCGTGCAGAATCTGATGGTGTTCGTCGCTGGAATCGTGACTCATCATTTTCGAGGATCTGGTTTATGAGGTTTCGTAACGATTAGAAATCATAGTGTGGGAAGGATGAAGAAGAAAGAGAGCGAGAGTGAGAGTGAGAGCGAGCGCGAGGAGTGAACGAGTTACGACTCGGGGTTCTAGGTGAGTCAACTCGTGTACGAAAAAATAGGATAGTATGAGATTGAGGATAGGGGTGGGGCCAGGAATGGGTTCGGGTGGTACCAAACCTAACAACCATGCGAAACGCGTTTATCTTGTGTGCCACGCATGTCTTCATTTGACGCAGTAGAAGCCAAACGAAACCCTTAGCAAAGCAAGTGTTTTCTTCAAAGGCCAAAACTTGGTGCAGCGTTTATTTCCATGTAAATGGTTTATGGTTTAACAAGTTTTTTTTTTTTTGTTTCTTGTTAGATGGAATTGGGTTCTGAAGTTTATTCTTTCCGAGGATTATTTTGTTTCCTGTTCCTCCCTTTATTTAACAAACAAACAGAATCATTGTTCTAATGTTTTTATTTTACAACAGTTGTTATGTTTATGAAGAACATATAAGTTGACAGAAAGAGTAATAGTGTGTTTCTTTTTTTAACATAGTTTCTATGCACTGAGTCGGTCTATTAAAGAGTAAATTGTTATAAAATAATAAATTCATATATATCCAAAAGCATTATTGTTAGTCCTTTTGCATATGTGCTTTCATTAATTAATCATATTTTCGGTTAGGGATTAATCAGTTTAGCTAATTAAATTATAAAACATGTGTACAAACATATTCAATTTCCTATGCTGCATTTTGCTACATTCTCATTCTCCCTTCTCTTCTTCTACCACTACATTTTTTTAGAATGCCAGTATTTTTTTTTTCTTCTCTCATTTATTCTTTTTACTCTTCATTCTCCTATATATATTGAGGATGTCATGATTGACCAGAATAAAGATAGGGTATGTGGTGTGTTCCTCTTAATGATTGCAATAATTAGGGTATGACATTTTCATTAGAGAATCTTAGAAAGAAAATTAGTACTACATTTATAATGGACAATTTACATGTGAAGATGTTTTGCTTTAATTAATGCCGATTTGAAATGAAACACTTGTCTTCTAGCTACCAGTGTAAAAATTCTCCAAAGGATGTTAACTAGTTAGGATATGAAACATTAAGCGAAGTAATTGGTTTTTGTTAATTACAGGTTGCTAATAAAAACTCATTCAGGGAATCAGGGGATTATTATGCAGCATTTTCTTGAGGTTAACAAAGGTGCAAATGTTCCTACTGTGAGATATCATTTGGATGGTGGATCACATGTGTGCAAAAGCAAAGGCCCTTTTATCATTTTTTATTCTTTCCCTTTTGATAATTACCATGAAAGCTAATTAACTTTTGCTTAAGTGCTTGTTGGCGATCTGCTGATGTCACTCAGTATTCAGACAATTTCATTCAAAGATTACACTGATTCAAAAGTAAATTCTTTTTACGTGTATTTAATGTGGTTATATATCTAAAACTTAAAATTAAAATTGATTCAAATTTTGATTCCATTTCTATATTTTCTTTATTTAAATGAAAATCTAACAGGTAATTAGAAAATATTGGTTATTAGTTGTTTTTTAATGTATTATGATCATAAATGTATTTAAATTATTTTTCGACTCTACTAACATGTAGCCATTGTGTCATGAATTGAGCAGAGCCAGGGGAGTTGGATGCGTCACACATGAACATGCACGTACCATTATAGTGAGTTCGATGAACTCGTAAATTGTAAGGATGGTTGTCTCAACCAAACCCTGTTATGCCTTCATTACAGGACCATGTGCACGTTACAACAAAGGAAAAATCATTTTCAGCATGGTCTTTAAGAAGGTCCCATTTCTGGTAAAGGCTACCTCAGAAATAATGGATTAATTTCAAGTTTAATTTCACTTCCTTAATCTCTCTAATTATTCTGGATTAGAGAAAACGTTGTCGGTGGAACTAAATAAAATTGCTAAAGTTCGCAACCACTTATAACTAACCATGAAAATGAAAACCCAAACAAGAATCAATAGAAAGTGGCTAACTAAGAAATAATTATTTTACGAGACAAATAAAAAGCTCTTGCGAGAGAGACCAAGCACCAGAAAATTTTGACAAGGAATTGGTTTCTGCTCTTGTGTCAATTCTCAGCTTTCTTGCTTTATATTTTTTGTTTCACACTCTGTGTAACGACTTTTCAAGTACGTCCTTTTCTTTCTTTTTTTTTCAACTCAAGAATATGAGAAAGTCAGTAACAAACTCTACCAACTTTAGTATACGGTGTTCTTCTATATTTCTTGTTCACCTATCTGATTGGTCATCGCTTTCCTTATCTCGTGCTAAGCTTTGTCACACGTTGACATGCTTTCATTCTCAGCATCTAACGGTTTTGTTTTGCTTTGGGTTGTGTTGTGTTGTGTTGTGACAAACCAGAACCATCTTGAGGTTTTCCTTGGCTAGATGCATGTTGTTATCGTCAACTCAAAGGCACTATCTGAGAATACTACGTTACTAGACGAAATTTAACGTTCCATCTATCTTCCTTCAAATTTAAGATCAACACAATGAATTTTAAAATAGACTTGTCCAACCTTTAATAACATGTTGTTTGCAACTGTAAGACATCATCAATGAAGTCATATAATATTTGTAATGCAAGAGAACCAGTAATAACCATGTTCTAATGAATTTTTTCACCATTATGTGAAAGAAACTAGTTTTCTTAGTTAATAGTTTGTTTTTTGAATTGGTTATTAATTATCATGATACGTTATATAACAACCAGATAATTAGGAAACCAAATCCTACATCATATGGTCAAGCATCTGAGAAATAATGTCACCTATTTTGTTTAACATGTGGCATTATGGTGATCAAACCCTGAAAATGTTCGTAAAAGAGATTGAGTATTGATAATTATGCATCCAATTCAAGTACGTATTCTTGAGTATGACAGGCTTGTGTTGTGTGTAATGATTCCCTGTTGATCATCCATCCACGTTTGAAATATCGTGAGATAGTTCACCTAATTTAATACTCGATCTTAAGTTGCATTTTTCATAAGTATCTCTAACTAAATTCTTGTTGGACCCAATCAAATCATGTTAATAGTCCACCTTATTTATTTGCTACGTACCTAATGGCAGTACCATTCTTTACATTTTAAATAATGCTAGTTTCTTTCCTGTCAATAGCCACTTGAATCAAACAAAACTATTAGCTTAAATATCCCAACACAAGCGTTTCTTGAACAACCAGCCACAGCCACTTAACAAGTTATAGAAGAAAAAAGGGCCAAGGTAATATAACCGAAAAGAAAATTCATCAACCTAACATGAGATCCGAGGCTTAAGAAAAGGTCTCCTTAACATTTAATCATTTGTTGGTTAATTATAGATCAAGGCAATATTTAAGTGGCAATGGCGTTGTAAAACAGAGTGTTTAGTCTAAACAAAGGGCCAAGTATGTTTTCAAAAGTCATTGTTGTTTTTAAGGTGCATTACTTTTTCATCAAAACGATGACCAATTCTTTTAACTGGAGATTTATTTTCTCCAACCACCGAAACCAGAAAAAAGTCAAATTGGACTAACGCAAAATTAATTTGCACTTTTCTTTACTTTCTAAACTTAGCTTACAATTAAATAATACTCAATCAATCCCAAATAGCAATAATAAAAACAAAGAGCAATATGTTTGACGGGGGCAAGGTTACTTGCAATGAATTACATGGTAGTTTGCTACAGGCAAACCATTTTAGAACATATGGTAACTGTTAGCAGACAAAATGCATAGGACACAGCTTGACTTGGACAGCAAAAAGATAAAAGAAGTAAAAACCTTTTTGTTGTGCTTTTTAGTTGCGGTCCCTTTGAAATGTGGCATACTTTTTACAAATAAAAAACAGTGATTGTAATTGTACTGCGTTAAATGCTAATTAAAAGGAAAAGGAGTAAATTATTCTGAACCCATCTTAATTATAAATTATTCCTGAACTGTCTCTGAGTAATTATGCTAGAAGAAAATTCAACCTCCAAATGAAGACTTGAGATGCAAGCATTCGGGAATGTAATTAACTAGTGGGTGCAACAACTTTTATAGGGTTGAACTAAGTTTCTTAGAGTGCCTCTGACTAACAAAATTACCTAATCTGCCAACCTGAATGACCCTAGCTCTCTCCTTTGATCTCTCCTATAAAACCATCCTCTCCCGCTATCACTCCCATTGCAATTTGCAACCTTAATCATCTTGGGACATAGGTTTTTGTTGCTACACTAAAAGAAATGGAACCTCTCAAGACCATTTTCTTAGCTCTTTTTGTTGTCTTAGCTTCAGCATTGTATTCAACTAATGCAAAAACCCAGGAGCATGAGTTTGTTGTACGTTCCCTTTCCCTCACTTTTCCTTTTCTCTCTTTCCCTTTCTTGTGTCCCTTTCTTGCTAAGATAATTATTAACTTGTTTCCATTTGTAACGAAACAGATTCAAGCAACACCAGTGAAGAGGCTGTGCAGCACTCATAGCACCATCACTGTGAATGGACAATTCCCCGGCCCAACTTTGGAAGTCAACAATGGAGACACTTTAGTCGTCAAAGTCACTAACAAAGCTCGTTACAATGTTACCATTCACTGGTATCATATCAAACCAATCTAGCATTTTGGTTTCACTTTCACCCTTAGATATGCTTCATTGATTATTTAAGAAAAAAGACATATCCATGCAACAATTTGTTTTATCTTTTCCTGTTAGATTAATCATCTTATTCTACACTTTCTTTTTCCCTTCCTATCTGTCTCTTTGTTCTATAATTTACAACACTTGGCACAAAATCATGTACTAATTTTGAACCTTTTTTTTTTTCTTTGTATCCTTAACATGTGCTCGTGATTCATGGGCATACATTAATTTGTTCTCACTTGTGATAATTAAAATGCAATCGTTTTGCCTTAATAAATCATGCTTCCAAACGACAAGTTCTAGAAGGCAGTTGTACCCG